GACAGCGCGTGGGAAAATGACGTCATACAGGTGAGGCCAATTATGAGTAGAGTTGTAATGAAGCGTGTCCGTGAGTAGATCAGCATAACGTTACGATATCATTAAATCATTGATTACTTAAATGTTCAGTTTTTTACAGAAATTAGTTGAAACTTTTTACCTAGTTAGGTTATATAGGTAATTATGGATAGTGTATATACATACCATATCTATAAGATATTAAATGTCTATTTATATTGCTGATGAAAAGTAGCGATTAAATCTTATTTATAAACAAACTGTTTACATCAAAATAATACTACAGGTAAAACCGAAAAGGATGAAATAAAGAGTTATATATTTTGCTTACATCAGCAGTGATCATAAAGTTGAGTTACTTATATCTTGGGGTCCTTGTATTTACCGGACAATCATGCAGTTTTATACCGGACAAAATATATTGTAGGGATCCTGATAGCAGAAAAATGTTGAGAAGTGAGTGAAAGCATAAAATTTAGTAGTACATAAAATCATGAAAATGGAACATGATAATGAGTAGGGAGCATGATAATGAGTTGGGAGCATAATGAGTATGGAGCAGGGTAATGAGTTGGGAGCACGGTAATGAGTTGGGAGCATGACAATGAGTTGGGAGCATGATGAGTTGGAAGCATGATAATGAGTTGTGAGCATGACAATGAGTTGGGAGCATGATAATGAGTTGGGAGCATAATGAGTTGGGAGCATGATAATGAATAGGGAGTATGCTAATGAGTTGACAGAATGATGATGAATAGGGAGCATGATAATTAGTTGGGAGCATGATGATAAATAGGGAGCATAATAATGAGTTGGGAGCATAATGAATTGGGAGCATGATAATGAGTAGGAAGTATGATAATGAGTAGGGAGCATGATAATGAATAGGGAGCATGATAATGAGTTGGGCGCATGATAATAAGTTGGGAGCATGATAATGAGTTGGGAGCATAATAATGAGTAGTGAGCATGATAATGAGTAGGGAGCAAAAACATTAGTAGGAAGCATGATAATGAGTTGGAAGCATAATGAGTTGGGAGCATGATAATGAGTTGGAAGCATAAATTGAGAAAGGAACATAATGAGAAGGGAGCATGATAATGAATAGAGAACATGATAATGAGTAGGGAGCATGATAATGAGTAGGTAGCATTATAATCTAAAATGGAGTATTAAATTGAGTAGGTTAAAAAAATTGAGATGAGCAAGGGATATTATATTGCATGAGGAGAATTGGAGAATAAATTTCAGTAAAGAAATAAAATAGAGAAAGGAGTATAAAAGCAACTTAAATCAGTGAATGAGGTGTTTTTGATGTTGTTTTTTTATTCCCCTTTGATTTTTTTGTTTGTTGCTTTATTTATTTATTTATTTATTTTGAAAATAATTATACAGCTTATTTTCAATCAACATTTTCTTGAATAATGGTATGACTGCTATGTACAGCATCTTGTATGCAAGAAATATCTCTGTCAGGTGATAGAAGTAAAGATAACTATCTCTTAACACAGGAAGGTCATTGTCCATAACACTAGCAATCAATATTAACTATGGCCATAAAAATATTGGATCAAGATCTCAATTATTGTAGAGAGCATTAACTTGATGCCTATAAATCTTAATTGGTTAATTATTGTAATTTATTGATTAACAGCTGGTATTTATATCATAATGTTGTTGTCCATTTTAAGTAAACAATGATATTGGGAGATAATTATAGAAAAGGGTTTTACACATCAGCAATTATGACAGACTGAAGCTGTTGTAGAAAAAAAACACAAGAGTTCTTATTTAGAAAATATCTCAAGTGTTTACCTTTGACTGCTAAACAGAAAATGCTTCACAGGGCTTTTCCCCAGCTATTTCTCTGTTCAATTGGAAAAGTTCTGTCACTGCATTTGGGAAATCTGAGAAATCCCAAAATGACCAATAAAACCCCTTATATATGACCTTCTAGGTTTTAATCATTATAAAGACCATATAATCTTCAATTTGTCCCATAAATTTATACAGTTTGATGGTTTGGCAGCTGTTTCTTTTTCATTTAATTGGCGAAAAAAAACAGAGAAAATTTTAGCCTTTAGTAAAACAGTACAAATTAAATGTTCTCTTTCAAAATAGAATTATATAATTTAAGTGTCTATATTAACATGTTGATAAATCTAGAATTCACATCATGGAATAATTAAAATCCATGTAAATAAAAAATTAAAAGGTTCTTGTAACGCTATAGTGACTCAAGTTTTAAGTTCATTGAGTGTATCATTCTTCAATGTCATCTTTCCTCAGATGTTCTTATTCTTCTCGCCATTGTAGGTTCTTTCCCACCAGAGAATTTGGGTGCTTCACATGAGAATTTCTGAAAGCTATTCAGTTAGCTCAAGGAACTTCGGTGGTTTTACGCAGGTGGCTGCTCTGCCTGAAATAGTGCAGGGAGGAGCATTTGAGGTCTTCTTCTGCCAGGAAAGCTGGAAAGGTGCAATAAAACCTTCACTGTGTAAAAACCCTAGCAAAAAAAAAACTAAGAAAAAAAACCCAACAGATCGTTCACCTGATGATGCATAATGCACGATGCCGGACATAGCCCCATCACTATACCACACCTTGACTACTTTGTGGTCAGGTGAGCTAAAAAATAATAATTTAATTATTGTATCATTAAAGCTTCAGGGACAGACCATGTCCTTTCTTTTTTAAATGCTATAATCAAGTGTATTCAAGTAAAAATTAACTGAAATGATGATTTCTAAAGATATCCTGGTAATATATCACAATTATTATTTACTTATAGGAAAAAAGCAAGACCACAATATAATATTATGTTTGTCTGTTAAGGGCAACAACAACAAAAATTTTAATTCAAAGATGGGGGATATGGCTGTTGCAATCACTTCTCTGTAAGATGAATATCTTTGTGTTTAGAAATGTTTCAAGATATTGGTATTTTTACTCAAGTTTGATTATTTTCCATGCAAAAAAGGGGCATTACTCTATAAATACCAATCAGTTATGTCCCTTATATGTCCTATAAATGTGTCTTCTTGTCATTACCAAGTGTATAATTTTTGATAATCTTGCAACAGTCCTTTGTCATGAGCAAATTTTCCAAGTTTCATGTTGATATCTTTCGACTTTACGAAAAGTTCTAAATTAAAAAGAAGCAGAACTTAAAAACTATAGCTTTTAGAGTATTGCCCCTTGTTGTACATCTGTGCCTTGTGATGATAAACAAATATTTCAAATAGTGTCGATACGTTTTGAAATCTATAAGTAATGGGCTACATTAAAGTTACTGCACAACAACAACAACAACAACAATGCAACTCTGACTGAAAAGCTAAAAATAGTGTAGGTATGAATAATATAACCAAAGATATTTAGGCCCGAGGTTATAAAGAAATTTTCTCAATTCAAACTCAGACATTTGATTTGGTTAGCATCTGTCACAGACTATACAATGACCAATGAAAATCTCGAGATTTAAGACAGAACTCACTTAAAATGTTTAAAACGAAAGAAAATAATTATTTTAGTAATTTGGTTTAATAGAACTTGAAGGTAAACTACATGTACTTGAAGGGAAATTCAGTTGGAAAAGGGACACAATTTGTAAATGATGAATCTCAATATTGATTTTAGTTTCCTCCCTTTATAAAGCCAATAGTATGTTATTGCCTTTGGGCAATTGTGTTATTTTAGCTCATTAATTCTATGTAAAGTCTACCAGTTTACATTTAATCTATAATCCATTTTGTTCTATATAGGGAATATTCCATTTTTATTCAATACTAATATTAATTATTTTGTAGCCAAAGAATATTTACTTAATAATTTCAAGCATAATACTGTCAGAAAGCAAAGGCTTTATTAGATACATATTTGAACAAGAACCTGTAATGGGCAGTTCTCTGAACAAGAACAGAAATAAGTTATTATAAATAAGTTCTATTTGTAGAAGTCAGCAATGACCCATGGTAAATCTTCACTAAAAAGGTATGCTATAGATATGTTTAGTTTGTTTGAATTTATTTTAGTTTGATTGTGCTGGAAGCTGTAAGTTTATTGAAACACTCTCAAATCCATTCCTGATATATTTAGATCTACAATGTATTTGCATTATACCCAGTACAGGTCACATGATTAAACTGCAGCAACTTTCATCAGAGAATTAACCCCAACTTTTGTGTTGAATTATCAGTGGTCAATATAATTTTTGTAATTCATTTGTTACAAATATGTTTGGTGTGTTTTTTCTCCACATATTTAAATTTTGGCAAATTCTAGTGGAAACCTTACTGTGAATGAAACATCCATTTTCTGGGAAGTTATGGGCGAGGAATCTACTAGTACTATTTTCATCATAGACTTTCATTTGACACTACTTGATATTGAACCTTCATGTGGCAGATTCTCTGTCTTTTGTGCTATTCCTGCACTGTAGTCTGAGCATACAAAATGGCACAACCAAAAATGGTCATTTCTACTGGAAGCAATTTCATTGAAATAAAGCTTGAAAATTAAAGACTGTACAGAAGATGAATTTAAATTTGTTAACTTTATATTCATAGGTGCCATTAAGGGCCTATAATGCCTAAGAAATGCTACTTTTTTTATTTCTCAAAAACATTTTATTTTTGGTATCGTGTCAGTTTCCAAAATAAAACTCCTATGCCATATTCATAAACTATCTTTTGGTTATTTTTCTCTGTTGGCAAATGGTTTATTTAGAGAATTAGTTATTTTGTATAGAAGTCAAAATATTACTTTGTTTACATTTTGCCAACTCTACAACATCACTGCATGTTAAGTGCTACTTTTTCAGTTGTTGATAATCAATCATGCTCTTAATCCATTATAAAAACATCATAAAAGCCATGTTTGCACACAAAACTTAACCGAAGTGTGATGCAAACGCCTAGATGAGTACAATAGCTCGCCCTATTCTTAGAATAGTTGAGCTTAAAATGAAATCAAAACAATATCTTTCAAAAGTTTCTTTATTCAATTTTTGAATGTATAATGGCTTAGTAATAAAACATTGTAAGATGTTATGTAAGCACAAAGCTAAGAAATTATGCTATCTACTGTCCTTATTACTAAACAGTTTTACGAATTTCTAATGAACTATCTCCATTTAGATGGTGGTAAACTATTTACATGAGTAAATGTTTATACAAAATTCAACATCTGTATAACATTAATGAGATAACAAATATTATATTTCAAATTCAGGATTAAGTTGCCAGTATTAACTTTTTTCTTATTATCATTTTGTGTAAATATAATGTACAAAATGAGGCAATATCCACATGATTCTTGATAAAAGTGTAATGAACTTCTTTGCTTCAATGAAATGAAACTGTTAGTATTGCTTAAGGTATAAAATAAGCTTAAAAAGTCTGTTTAATAGTCTTACATTTTGTTATTTTTTGTATCATTAAAAAACAATACATACATAATTAATATGGAACTCAACTCAATACAAAGCAAGTTCTAAAATCATATTCAATTACCAATCATATAAGAATACAAATTTCAGCCATAAATGGTTTCTAAACAAACCAGTTACGATGATTAAAACTGTTCATGCATCATTCCAGAATAATTATATACAATGTTTGGTAAAATAAACAAGATTTTTGTTGAAAACTACTTGGAAATTAAACCTTATACACACACATAAACAAATATATCTTCTATTCCAAAAGACATTTATACTGATCATGGAAAAGTATATCATTACAGACATATTAATGCAGGAATGGTATGTTCTTCAAAATCATATCACAAATAAACAAAAATTCATTCACTCATTCATTTACGCACTTAACATGATAGTATCACAAAATAACATGTCACAAACATTTTTCACTGGCTCATCTCAGGTTAAACACACATTCAAAATATTTAAACAAAATAAGTTAAAAAATACAAATCCCTCCCCTCGTTACCCAGTTTCATAGCTATATACACTGTACATGATGTCAGTATGAAGAAAGCAAGATTTATTTACTATCCCAGTATCCAGACAGCCAAAATAATTTATCTTTCTTAAGTAGTTTCTATTATAACCCACTCCAAATTCTTAATGAAACTCTTTCTGTTTTCAAAATTGGTAACTACAATGTCCCAATGGAAGAAAATACTTTTTGACTAGAAGAACTTTTTTTGAGAAAAAAAGGTTCATTTATCTGTTAGAACATCTTCATAGTTTACAGTTGAAATTGATTTTTTAGTCAATTTAGTATTTAATACCAGATAAATCATAAAGATATAAATACTTAACACCCCTAACCAAAGCACTTACATATCAATTACTAAAGCAATAGTAATAACTGTGAAAGCACAGACCCTTTATAATAAGTCCATATGTAAATAGTCAATGATAAATGACATATAGTTTAGAAATTTTAGTTGTTACTGTAACCAACACAACATGAAAAACAAACTCATTACAAATTGTTTATTTACCCACTGTCAAACCGTTACTGCTTTTTTTTTTACAAAAAATGTTTGCAAGCTATTTAGTAATCTATTTTAGTGAAATACACCTTGTCTTTTGAGCAGTGAAAAAAATAAATATTCCCAACATAACAAAAGGAACAGACTGAACAAATCCATGTGTATGATAATTTTGAACAGTATTTCTTTCATTTTTGTTTTTACAAAAAATCTTTCTGGATCTCAATTATCAACTCTTACTATAATAATCCCACAATTGATGTTGATTTCAACGAGTGTTTAAATAAGTATTTTACAGGAGTTAATAGCCCAAATTTTAGTTGTTGATTATTTCATCTTATTACAGTAGAATTGCTGCTGCCTGTACCACTGGTTGAACAATTTGTTATCCTATAAGTCTATAAAGCACTTGTGTTATACCACTCTTCTCACTTCAAAGAATCTCTTCAGATAATATACTTGTCCCAGAGTCATAGCCACTAGCACCAATGCCTCAAAGAAAGACCACAATACAACTCTTGAGTTTGTATTGTCATTAACTGAAATGAAAATATATTAACAAATTGTATTAGATGTTTATCAAATTTATTTTAAAAAGTAAGTTTAAGCAACTGAAGTTGGTTTTTGTGGAAGACAAAGAACAAACAATTCCCATTTTTTTTGGCTTTCATGTCATCTCTTACCCTTACTAGAGATATGTGGAGACTTATTTAAAAAAACCTTTTTGCTGACATAGAAAACTATTCACAAATATGGCACAAAAACTCTAGATATATCAATTAATATAAATAAAGATATATATAAATTGGTCAAGCTTTCGCTTTTTTAATTAATTAAGAAAGAATTATAGCATCTGTCAAAATTTACTTACAACATAAAAGTTATGTCAAAAGTATTTATAGAGAACTTTAAATGGTGTGTTATATTGGAATATTATACATACTAGCTCTGTGAATTCTTTCTCTAACTTCCATGTACTCTTGTTCATGTTTAACTCCTGTTAGAGCTGTTGACAGTTCATTTATCATCTCGGACAATTTGTTCTGGTGTTCTGTAATATAACAAATACTCAAGAAATATAAAAACGTTCCTTAAAATCAGATAATTATACTTCAAGTAATATATAGGAAATTCAGCCAAGCAACATTCCACCGTTTACATCATGCCATAGCAGAATTATGCAATGGATTTACTATTGATGCTCAAGACATTTCTGATTTATCTGACATAATGAGAACACTTTGACAAAAATTTTAATTAATTCACCTTAACTGCTAGTTTGCTATACCGATTCTTTTAAATGATCAAACCAGCAAAGACAACAATATATAGTTCAAATACTAAAGATTTACATTTATTATTTTTACACATATTTTATAAATGTTAAATATCAATCAACAGAACATAACTCATTTACAAAATATTTTACAACTTTGAGGCAAATTGACCAATTCCTACCATCTCCCTCCATATTTTCTTCTTGTTTTGGTTTTTCTCCAATGTCAACTGTGAACATAACAATCTTTGGAGTCATGGTGGACATTTTGTTGCTAAAACAGTACTTATATACACCATCCATGTGGGCAGCAAATGTATATTTCCCATTAGATTCTCTATCTCCAGAATGAATAACCTTACCATCTGGGCCATATATCTGAAAAAGTAGCAAAATTTTACAATAAAACATATTTGTTTGCGCCCAAGGCATAATATAACGGGACAAGTAACTACAAACTAGATAAACATTCTTATGTTGGTGTCCAATCTACAGCCCATCAACCGATAAGCTTGATGTTCAAATCATATATTAATGCTGTTATCATGAATAATATCTTGAATTGATTTGCATAACATCATGCAAAAAATATTTACAAGTACAGTATATACGGACTGTTAAAATCTTTATATGTATTGTCCACTGGTTATCCTGCAGCCTGTACAGACAAGTAGAAATTTTCAAGAATTTACTATATAAATATTGTACAAATTTAAGAGATGCTTTCATAAAAAATGGACAAGAAAGTCGAAATCAGATTTTGCTGGCCCTAATGTCAAATGGCTTATATTTCTCTTATTTACACTGGTTGGACAAAATATAACCTTTCACAATTTCGATCAACATGACAAAATGGCAGAGCATATGCATGTTTTGATGAAACGATACTGCAGCGCTTATCTCCAGTTTCTTGTTTTGTTGTATTTTGTCCCAGATTTGCAATGAATTTAAAACAGTAGCCTTGGTTACTGACAACAGTTATCTTATTCTAACACGGTTTCTGTATAATGCCATTTTACGTCCCCCAATTGCACATTCTTGAATAGACATTGGAATCTGGAGCTCTATAGCATCCAACATTTTGGCACTAAGTATGTCACTGTTTGAGAGAAATGGGCAATCTCCTGGATTAGATCCCTATGTATATTTCAGAAGTAAAACCTGTATATAATACACTAAAGAAAACGGAATGAACCTTATATATACTCCTGGTTTAGACCCCGGGGTCTATTCCAGGATATAGCCGAGAAATGTGCTGTCTGTCCAGGACGCAAACAGGACGTTTCGGCCCCAAACCAAATCGGCCCCAGTCGAAAAATCGGCCCCTGGACGTTTCGGCCCTTTTCCGCGAGACGTTTCGGCCCCACTATAGTGTATTGCTTGATTGATTGACAACAATTAATTTAATTACAATTAAACAATAATGACACTTTAATTCTTTGAATAATTATTTATTATCTTTTGATCTCTTGAACCATTTAGATATACGTTAATATTTTTAAAGGTGTAACAAACAATAACGGCTGGTTACTTACTTATAAAACATTATCTTTTGATCTTAATTAAACTATACGTAATTTTTTCAAAGTGTTACTAATTAACTGTTTATACTTTATGCTTATTGGCGGTATTGTTTTGTGTCTTGCTTCTTAATCATTCAAATAAATATTATTTATTCAGGTTAATAATTGTTTGTTTGTCAATTGTGTATTATATTTTTTCAAATAAAGTTTATGTTCTGTTCTGTTTGTATTGAATACTCTCCCCCTACTACTATAATAATCTAGTTTTTATACAAAATGATTAAATATATATATTAATTGATTATTTTTTTTTATTGAAATGCTATTAATATATCGGTTTAAAATACAGTGCTTATTCTGGGGCCGATTTGGTAAAGGGCCGAAACGTCCGGGGCCGAAACGTCTTGGGTAGTTTGGGGCCGATACGTCTTGGGGCCGAAACGTCTCGAAATCGTCCAGGACAAACATTCAATACCTAGGAAACCCATTCCACAACTGTACGTAATAAGCTATCCAGTTATTCAGACATTTTCTCCAATTATAAATGAACGACACCGTGAAATCAATGTAGCTTAATTTTCAGTCAAAGATTATTGACTTTCTTACTGGTTGGTAATTATCCTGTCATGACTGAAATTACAAAGCATATGGAAACCAGAAAAACTAACTGGTACAATTACAGAATTATTCTTTGAAGTAAATGCCCAAAAAATATTAGGATCACTCATTTCAGAAGTTCAATTATAACTTCTTGGATAATTCAGTAAAGTATATGCAATGGACTTGCTGACAATACCTTTACGTCTATGTCAAGGAAACCACCTTCTGCCACCTCAAACATCAGACTCATTTTCGTGCCGGACGTGACTTTGTCGAAGAAACATTCTTCTGCATGGGCATCAATGTTTATGAAATAACATTGGACGGTGGATATGTATAATAATGAAGCAACAACAGTCGCTGTTAACACCAGGTGATGCATACTTTTGTCTATTTGTTTACGTTTTACTAAAAAATTGTTTCATGCCACGTAAGTTTAGTCTGGGCATGCGCAACAAGTCTCGCACTGAATAAATGGCTGTAAGAAGTTGGACAAAATAAGGTTAACAAAAAGACAGGTTCATTTTATACAGATTAAAACATGTTTTGTCATTCGTATTATACAGAGCTTTTACAAGAGATTCGAGATTTTTTTTATTTTATCTTTATCGTTATTATTTACATTTCATGAAATCCTGTTGGCGGTATAATAGCTCAGCCGGCTTGGTCGAAAACCGCTATGTAATTTAATATAGTTCAGATACAGCTAAATACGAGTGTAAATCCTACACATTAACCATGAATTTTATTGTTGTTTATTACGAACATGTGAAGCTTTATGGTGTTGAAATAGACTGAATATCTAATTTTAAATCTGTTAATGTTTATTACTTTTTATCGGTAAATATCATGAAAAATATTTTTCTCTGCACTAATTGTGCGACACTTGTACTTCAGAAATGAATAGTTTTTTCCTTCTTTAGAAAGGGCAAACAATAGTTTTATTACATTGAAATATTACTTTAGAGCATGTTAGATGCTTTTGACATTAAGAAATTAGCGCTAAGTATGAAATTATTTGTCAGAAAAGTAGCAAAATGTAAAAAAGTAGTATTTTTTCACTTCCAATCATTATACTCTAGCACGGATTTATATATATATATAAATATATATAGATATATAAATCCGTGACTCTAGAAATTGCCCAAAGGCACCAGAAGTTAAAGACAGTTCACATAATTGGCCAAGGAGTGACTTTTTGGGAACTTTAAGAGGACACCAAAAATAATAAGCTTTTGAGAAAGAAAAATAAAAGCATTTCTGGGGCATAATGGGCCAAACAAACCTAAACACTGAAAGAACAGAACTCTATCTTGTAGAATTATGTACTTGTAATTCATTTATGTTATCACTATAGCAAGTCTATACTTCCCATGATTCTCTGTAACATGTATTCCCGCCTAAATGTATGCAGCTACAGCGCACTTGGAATTAGTAAATTAAACAGTCAAGACACACTTTGTGTTAGTTGTTTATATTATGACTTAGATGTCATTATAATATAATAGACTATTGTCTATATAAAGTACCAAATATTACATATCTGTTTAAGTAATTTGTCTCAAATGCACCTTGTTCCCAATATGGCGCACTCACCAGTTACAGGCGCTTTTCCATTACAATTTGCACTAACCCATTATCAGTGAACTATAAGAGCTATGAATTTCTATGTCTTTGTCCGTGTGGTGGTTTACAAATAAACCTTAAATAATAATAAGTTTTTTAAACCCGTTTCGGAACTCATAATCTGCTAGACGAATATTACCTTCACCAAGTACATGTAAAATAACAAACTGAAATTTCTTATTTTAAAACAATCAAATGTTTATTTTTTAAAAACTTTTAAATTTTTACAATATTTTGAACTTTTTTTAGACTGGGGAAAAGAATTTATAATTGGCTTTTGTACATTTCTTAAATTATCCCTAAATTGGTGTACGTAAGGGGGAAACCTAAACTAGAGAAAAAGATCCCAAAGCCCCCCCAAAACGACAAACTAAAATATTAGTTGGGTTTTTTTAAGTCTTTTGGAAAGGCTTCTTCTTTTCAACAGAATATCTACCGTTACCCCGGTGCAAAAACTTTTCAAGAGAATTAATAAGGAATTCTAAAGAGTGCGATGTTTAACTTTTTACGCAATCAAAAATACCTCTAATGTAAAGGGAAACTTTTAATATTATTTGAAACAAATTGACAAAAGGCAACTCATTTTTTTATTTTTTAACTTAAACACCCTGGGTGTGCAACAGTTGTCAGACAGAGTTCTCTTAAAATTGACGTAATTTTTTATAAAATGAGAAATCGCAAAAAATTTACAACTTTCTTTTCCCAAATTTTCAAAATGCTCTTTTTAAAAATTTTAAATTTAAACCCGGGAACAAAAATTTTACGTTCGAATCTTTTTTCCTTTTTAAAAGTAAAGTAGCCTTAGCAGAATTAAAAAATGAACAAAAACTAAACGCTTTCCCATTTGGGCCTAAATACAATTTTTTCCAAAACGAAATCTCAAAGTCCCAACATTAAAATTTTTTCTTTCAAATTTCAAATAATCCCATCTCCGATAGAAATTGGCAACATGCAAAACGTAAATCTAAAATCCCTGTCTTGCAACGACTTAAAGTTATCTTAAAAAACTCTGGTAAACATGCAATGTTATCACGTCTTACTTCCCTTTCATTATCATCTCTGAAAATCTTAGACGCGGAGGCAGAATATAGTTATTCAAACAGATCCTTTATATACAGCAGCTTATCTTATTCAAAGTTATACTCAGCACGTCTTAAGACCTCATATCGACAACACTTCTGACCACAACAGGCATTTCCTAAAAGTAACCTTCTTAATAAAGGTATCGATTTCATCGATTTACCAAGTATTTTTCGTGATAAAACGTGTCACTAATTCAGTTCCTTTATACTTCAAAAACTCCGAGATACCAAATTATTTGCTATAAATATAAGAAACCTGTTAGAAATATCATATTTAATTACAACAAAGTGGTTTCTGACTTAGATATTCAGTCTAATACTCCAACAACTAAACCCAAAATATTTTCAAATTTGAAAATTCGTTTTGGCCCAAAAAAAAAGGTAATTTTGAAAAAATGAGACAAAGAATTCTAAACTTTTTCTTAAAAAAGACCTAAAACCCAAAACCCTTCTAAATTTTTTTTAAGCTTCGTGGTAAATTTTAAAAATCTAAAAGGGTTTTTGTAAATGTGTCGCCTAAAGGGGATTAATGCTCTATTAATGAAACGTAACATTTTTAAAAAATTTATATTCACTTTAATTTTTTCTGAAAAAAATCTTTCCCACCTAAACCAAGATTACTTAAACATCTGAAAAAAAATTTACTTTTCATTCAAAATTTTGTCCCACGACAGCGGAAAAATTAAAATTTGTTTGACGAACCTTACTTTAATTTTTGCAAAAGGGAACTAAAAGCACTAATGCGTATTCAAAAACCTCTCCTCCAAAAAACTTTGTAAAAAAATCAATACAAATTTTTTTCCCAAAATTTTAAACCCAAATTTAAAATGAAAAAAACTCAAATTTCCTTTTATGTATTGGATTCCTAAATTAAAAAAAAACCCTTTACAAAGCCAGATTTTTTGCTAACTCTACACTTCACTACAAGAAATTTTCTTTTTATTATTTGTTTGACGCCATTAAAACACGTTAAATTAATATTGTATAAAATCTATGAAAACACGGGCAAAACCTTTTTTGGTAAATTTAAAAAATTGGGAAAATCTGGATAAATTCAAAATTTTAAAAACTTTCAACTTCAACTTCAACATACATTTTTTTACACTTTATAAAACTTTGCCAATAAATTTAAACAATGAAAAACTAATTCTCTAATTTAGAAACTTTTCAGGAAAAAAATTTCCTTTTTGCATGTAATTCTAAAAAAGCTTTTTTTATAACGTATTTTTAAAAATTTATACATGGACCTTTTACAAGTTTTTAGAGCACTCCTTTTCTTTTAAAAACATTATGTCAGGTTTGGAACCCTTTAAAAAAATATAGGAAATTCCCATGGGACTAAAATTCACCCCCGGTCCGATTTTGTTTTTTACCATGAAAAACTTTAGTTTAGCTTTAAGAAAACAAAAATTTATAGTCCATTTTAATAATATTCCAAACCTTATATATTTTAATTTTAAAAATCCTTTTTTGATCAAAAGGGTCACATTATCCGCATAACTCAACAATAAAAAGAACTTTGAAATTTTTGTAAACATTTTTTCTAATTACTATCAAAGCACTATTCCACGAAAATTTTTGATAAAAAGATGACTTACTTTTGTATAGTTAATTATCCACATTTGGAGGAACGAACCCCAGCAAAATCCACGGTTTATGTTTCTCAGTTAATTAGATTGCTAGAGCTTTGTAACAACGTAAAGGATTTCAACGAGCGAAAATTTTTATTACCAGCAAGCTTCTAAAACAGGGCTACCGCTATCATAAATTACGGAAATATTTTACTAAATTTTACAATCGTAACTTTGATTTAATTTCTAAATTCAATAGTGATTTTAAAAAACTCTTCTGCGACAAGGATTAGCCAGCCTGGTTTTTATGGCGATGTGGTTACAAACTTCGTAAGATTTTGGGTCATGGTAATTTTTCTGCTGTTTTTACTAAAATCATTAAACGTTTTATTAAAAGAGGTTATGACCCTACTATTTTAAGACATACTGCATGTTTAGTGTTCAACCCTTTTACAGTTGGACACTACGCTTTCCTCTTTTGATTGCATCTGACGGACCAAGTGGGAGACTCTATGATGGATAGTTCGTAAAGCCCTTGGGACTGAATTGTCTAATGTTCGTCTTCTGCCTTGCTTCGTCGGGCCCTTGTAGGTGATTTTCTTGTTGCTCTGTTCTTCCTTTAGGACATTGAGTACTTTTGTCATGTCATTGGGTTTACTTTTATATTTTCTACATGATCATTTTAGGTTTTTACTTATTTAACCTTTTGTAACCATGACAACTGTTAGATTTCACTTGGCGCGGATTCATTTTATTTACACTGTCTCGTTTATAGAACATGGTGGGGCTAAGAGCGAGTTTGGTGCACCATTAACCGTTTTTAAACTCCCCAGCAGTCATTATTATGCTGTGACCGTTCCAAGGCGGCGCCCCACTGTGTTCCTCAGATGTATGTCTATGTTGTTTCATACTGTTTTTGGTGACACTTTTGCTTGTGTCCCTTGTTGTTTTCTCGTCTACGTAAGTATCTTCCCCATTGCCTCTAGTTTTATTTCTTTGATTACCCCCCCCCCCTTCCCCGGTCTCCTGTCCCTTCCCCTTTGTGGGCCTATTATTATTTTCTTTGAATTCCTAATCAGTTACAAATTATTTATCATTAATGATTTAACGTGTCGTTGCCCTGTCCTTTTTATGTTTGGGGTCCACCTGGGCTCCTTGCCATTGGTTCTTGTTGCTGGGTCATATGGGGGTTGCGTTCATTGAACGCCGCCTTTCCTTGTTGATCTTGTTTTTCATATTTTACACCCCTATGTAAGACAAGTCGCATGCTTTAAATGACGTCATTGACGCGCGACTTTTATGAATGAATCGCGTTCTTAGGATGGCGTCATTTTTCCGTATGAATGAAGTTGTATGTTCATACGCTACTATAAGAAAAAAGTGCGTAATGAGAATATCAGTTTTCATAATTTCTGTTCCGAAAGAAATTGACATGGAATATGCAAGAAGAAGAATCAAACATCGGCTGTTGGTACAGACGGGAATATCTAGCTCTCGGGAAACTGTTTAGCGGAAACTCGGCAGAGCCTCGTTACCGCTGTAAACAATTACCCTCGAGCTAGATATTCCGGTCTGTACCGGCAGCCGGTGTAAGATTCTTATTAGCTGCCTCCCACGCCCGCCTCATTTGCACTTCCCATCCCCCGTGCACCGGCTTCAGCAGAATTCAACATTTTAACATTAAATGGTGAAATTTTGAAGAATCATTTATTAGAACAGGCAAGAAAGGCTATGTTTTCAATTATAGTTAAGGCTAGAAAATTGGATTTACCTATCAGTATGCACATTCATTTATTTGATAGCATGGTAGCACCTATATTGTTATATGGTAGCGAAGTGTGGGGAATTGAAAATGTGAATATCACAGATAGATTTCAATTAAAATTTTATAAACTCATATTAAATTTGAAACAAAGTACTCCAAATTGTATGCTTTATGGAGATTTAGGGATATTACCTTTATCTATTCATATAAAAAGTAGAGTTTTGTGCTTTTGGAATAAGATTTTAAGTGGCAAACAAGAATCAATAAGCCATATATATTGTATGATATGTCACACTCTTTGTATTGTAGAAATGTGTTGAAACTCCCATGGATGAAAAGTGTTTGTAAATTACTAGATTCACTGGGTTTATCAAAATTTTGGATTAATAATGTTGCCACTTCTCTTCCATTGTTTAAGAAAATTGTTAAAAATAGACTGAAAGATCAGTTCGTTCAAAATTGGCATAGTGAAATGTCAGAATCAAGTAAATGTCTGAATTATAGAATGTACAAAAGTGAATTCAGATTTGAAAAGTTTTTAGATATTTTACCATATGATAGCTCACTTGGTGATGAATATCATTACTTATTTAATTGTCAAATCTTTTATACTGATAGAAAAAAATATATTACTAGAGAGTATAGTACTAATGTTAATTCAATCAAGTTTTCTATGTTAATGAATAGCACAGATAGGAGTATATTGTTAAAACTTGCAGTATTCTGTAAAAAAATTATGTCAGCATTTAAGTAACTGATAACTAAGCTTATTTTCATAATGTAACACTTTCATTTTTGATTTATATTTGCCATGTAGTACATTAGTATATTTCGTGGATATCTCTTTATGATATGTCATATTATATGTATATATTATTGTATATGTGACTGATGCCTCTAAGAGGCCCAGCATTTTCAATAAACTGTTCAAACTGTTCAATTTAGAAACATCCGCTGATGTGTTCATGGAACCGTGAATGTGACACTTTCATGCCATTCCATGAAAAGCGGCGTATGCTCCCCAAGACTGGATAATAGCTTTGCAAACCAATATTCTCTGTATATTGTGCTGATATATTTTGTCTTTCAAAAATTAAATTTGTATCGTATAAGCTTCACAACCTTTAATGTGAACCATAAAGTTTTATACATGACAATCAATCACGATATGATTATATTTTGTTTGAAAGTGTGATCGAGATACATGATTCAATATAACATGTCCAAAAAAAAGCAGACAATAATTTGTTCTAGAACAAAATATTATTATTCATCATATAAATGTCCATGCTATGTCACTTAAAGAACTTTAAATATTATTTTTTCAAGAATTTTTTTAGAATATCCAAATGATATATTTCTCTTGTTTTTATAATCATTTGAAATACTTATGGAAAATGTCCCCATTATAGACCAATCCTCATTAACGCTCACCCAGTACAGTTTTTTTTTATAGATTACTAGTATATGCATGCATTATAAATATAAAATTTTAGCAGGAAACGATTAGATAGACAGGTAAAATAGGGTTCTTGCAATCGTTTTCCGAATGTTTATTTAGTGTTTCTAGATTTATTCTTGGACATAATATATTAATTGCATTATGTCCAAGAACCTTCACATTTCTAAATAAGACATCTATACCATGGATTTCGGTATATGTATACAAAATAATAATAATAATTATGTATGACTTTTTAAACTGCTGAAGTACAGGCATTAGATCATATCAATTCTTTCTCTCTATCTCTCTAGCAAATGATATTACCTTGTATTGTCTTTTAGCTTAAGAGTGTTACCATAACGGAAACACGAACTGTTTTGCATTAGTATAAAAAATCATATAAATGACGCTTCAAACGCGTTTGACAAACATGTTTCAAATATAGACAACAATTCAATTCTAAAATGTGAATATAGCTTTCATTAATGGAACAAAATATTAACATATATGAAGAAAACTAAAAATCTTTTTATTATCAATTTATAATTTCTAAAATTTAACGCTACACCGAAATTGAAAATGTCGCAGGCTCAAGACATAAATTCATTTTTGTTTTTTTAAAAGAATTTTTGGGGTATTTCATGAATACTGTATTTCACAAAAACTACAGTACTGTAAATAAAAGGTAAAACTCACATACATAATGAAGAAAAGATGTAAAGAAACAGGCTTGTCAAATTCCATAAGTTTAGGTCAATACTCAACCTTTATGTATTTGAAAAGTATATTTTTAAGATTCTGTCCATTGCAAAAGTTTCATAACGGCTTTTATCACATACCCGTGCCAATTTTGCGACTCCTATCCGTAAAAGTGGTAATGCACGACCGCGCATATATATGTAGTTTGACGTGACGTTATTTGCGTTAAATGAACAGCGATAATTAAGACGCGCTGTACTATAGGCACGTCAATGAAAAATGGTTCTTTTTCACTTCAAACGGTCTTTATTTTTGGTATGTAATAAATAGAATATTATATTCGTGTAGGTTCATTACTGAATTTATTGAAATCTTTAAATAAAATAATATTTTGTTCGCCAGAGGCTCGCAGAATATAATTCTATTAAATTCTTACAATAAATTCATTATTGAACCTACACTCATTCAATATCCTCTATTTATAGCATGAAAGAAAAGCCAATGTCTCAAGTACATGTATAAACGGCGATGAAAAGAAATCTTTTGTTTACAAGAAATTAGTCAAAGGAATACATGAAATATTACTATAAAAATCTAATTTGTAGAAACATTCGAGTCTCTGTCATCTCGAATTTTCATATAGCATCGCAATCCATTCATAAGACTCCTTTTTACTCTTTATTATTTATGCAATTGCTAACTAGCTTTAATTTTATGCACGCGAAACATGTGCCATTAAAAAAAATAATCGGGCACTTTATTTCACACCATGTTAATTATGTGCATCTGACACGGTGAGATTTTTTTGAAATTATATAGTGGTTTATTACCTAAAGGCAAGGCACGGAGTGAATAATGTCATTTGACAGAAACAGGGAAGGAATATTGAAAATGGAAATTACTAACTGTTAGCATGTTTTTGTGCTAATTATTCAATGGATCTTTTTCCGATTCGAAGAAGAATGGAAGAAGATGTTATTTCTGATGTGACGGTCACAATGATTTACGACCAAGCTGCAGGAATAGGAAAGAGTTCGAAAAATTGATAGAAATTTATGGGGTTGATGCAGTGACTGATTTAATGCCAAAAGTGATTAGAGCTTTAGAACAGTTAGAGGCACTAGCTTCTAAATATGAAAAGGAAAGTGGTGAAATTAATGAACTCAGAATATGCTGTTGAAAAGCTAGAAACTGAAAAGGCAGAGAGAAATCAAGAAAGAGTTCGTTTTGAAGAGGTATTGAAAATTTTGCACAAAACTCTTTGAATAAAAGTGAAAGTACCATTGCTGTATACAAATAATTCCGTGCAAAAAATATGTTAATACACAAGTCTACGCACAAAATATCTCTAATCATTATTGCAGCTGCCACTGTGACTGTTTTAAATTTATTATTTATAGATAATTTAAGTTTTGTAAAATCAGGGATGGAGAGGTAAAGGAACATTGATTAATAATGGAAAAATAGCAATAGTAGCGCTGTGTACTCTTATTAGATATAATTCCCCAGAGATAAATCAGTAACATACCGGAAACAGTGTTTAGCTAATAATATTATGTTTTCTAAAATGTCAGTAGTTTGGATCTTGTTTGACAAAATTTGTGTACTGGAAGGGGACCACCAACCAGCCGCTTTTTTCCATCTTTCATAATTTTAAAGCTAGAGATCTGAAAATTTGACACTGTAGTCAGTACAGCTAGGCTCTTCTCCTAACTAATATACTAGTTTGTTTATTTCTGATTATGTTGACACATATATCTGAGGCCTGTGAAGGGGGGTATTAAAATTACCTCAATTGTCCACACTACAGTACAGTACCATATTTACATACAGACATGTCCATGATGCTGATTTAATTCAATAAAGGCTTTGGTGTTTTAATTTTTTTTTATTTTTAACATGATATATTATAAGCAGCAAATGCTGAAGTTTTAGATTTACTATTACCACTCTGCAAATGATTATAGCTAGTATAAGAGGTCACTCTTGACGTCCAAATTTTCAATATCAATGTTCTTGAAAAAGATGAAATATTACCATTTACGAAAATTGAAATAAATTTAATTACTTAATTATAGAACAAACCTGCAGTTATTGTTGATATAAAAGTGACTTATAGATCAACAACCACTGAATAAATAAAAAACACTTAATAATTAAGGCATTTTCGGGACAAAGTTTTGATGGCGTCCGGTTTGGTCTCCACAGTAGGGACTATAGACGCATCAGCCTGCCCTCATATTTCTTTGTACCCCATTCCAGAAATAAAATCCCAGGAAATTTTAGTAACATAATGTTGTGGGAACATAAAATGTTAATTCCTATATAATGGGGTGTTCTGTCTGTTTTTATGCACGCTGTTGCAACCATTCACAAAAGACTAAAAAAACACTTTTAGATGACCCCTTATTAACTTTGAAATTCAAAAACCATTGCCAAGGTCACAGTGACACTTGTCATATCAACACTTGAAAGAAAAGCCATGGTTTAAAAAGCATATTGTAGTAGGAACATTGCTCATGGCCAAAAATGACTCATGATTGAAGGTCATTAGGTTAAAGGTCAAGGTGATAGTAACATTTAATGTTAAAGTCTTAAAAGTGTTTTAAAAGCTTGTAAAGGAATAAGCTCTGGTTCATATTACTTGGATTGACATTCTCATAGCTTCATATATTTTGATGACCTCTATTGATTTAAAGGTTTTAGTCAAAGGTCAAGGTCATATCAAACACTTGAGAGTGAAAAGGCCATGGTTTATAAACATATATTGTAGTAGGAACATTGCCCGTGGCCAAAAAAATGACTCCAGATTTGAAGGTCATAAGGTTAAAGGTCAAAGGGTATAGTATCACACTGTTAGTCACATGTACCATAAAAATTAATGCCTTAATGGATCAGTGTTGGCAGTATAGTGGAAATCATTTGATGGATTTTATGTATTTGTTATGATTCTGTTATCTTTGACAGAATAAACACAATGCAAAATTCAAAACACTACACCAAAAGAATCTGAAAAAAAGGATTTAAAAGGTAGAAAGAAATATTCTAAACTTGCTTTGAAAGAGGAATCCATTTTTTTTTGACAATGAGCAGATTCAGAAACTCTTAATGTAAAGGTAGAAACATCTTAAAAGTGAAAAAAAAAATGATCAGAAATATAATTATGTTTCTTTCATATATTTTTAAATTTCCCTATTTGATAATAAAAATATTTAAAAAATCCTAATTGAGGCATGTTTTTCAATAGAGGTCTTTTTGTGAAAATTATGGAAATGTGGTCTACTTAAAAGATTTTTCTTTCCCTTTTGCAAAAATGTTGTGTCATTTTCCCCAAAATTTAATTAAAGAGTCCCTTCTCCTATCAGTGAAAAAGTCAAAAAACAACAGCAACAACAACAAGAATTTATGTTTTTTTTACAGCACATAGTTTCCCAAACTGGGTTAAGTACTTGATCCCAAAATGGCTAGGAAATGGTATGCATTGACACTTTTGTAAATTCATGCTCTGACCAATAACTTTAAATAGAATAGGCCTAAGGCTAAGTAAGTTAAATTTGATAGGGAAGTTACCCATAGCTAATAGATTACCCTATTTATTTGGAGTTCATGGTCAAGGTCACAATTTTTGATTATATAAATTCCTTGTCAGTCAATAACTTCAGATGGAATAAATCTAAGTACATGTAAATGAACTTTACTTGGTAGGGATATTGCCAATGGCCAGTAGATGATCCCTATTCTTGGAGGTCATTAGATCAACGGTCACAGTAAAACTTGATAGGGAATCAGGTCATTATTCAAGTCATAGTAAATTTGATAGGAATCCTTATCAAGCAAGAACCTCAGTGTGTGCAAATTTATTAGTTATGAACTATTATATATACATGTTAATTACTTTTTTTCTAAACATTGACCTCCTTGAAATACATGTATGTCAGGGTATTTGCTGCAGATTTAGCAAATAAAATGATAATAAGACAACTGATACTTACTTCTTAATAATGTCTCCCTAAATTTTTGGAAAATCCAACTTGGTAAAACCCCAATTAAATTTGTTTTTTTTTTTTAATTTTTAAAAAATGAGAAAATTTTTTCCTTTAGGGAGTTGATACAGATAGAGGAGACTTGGCAAAAAGAATCAAAAGAACAGATGCATCAATAGGTAGATTGCAGGAGGAGAATAGAAGACTTCGATCATCATTGTCAGAACAAAAACAAGCTGTTGTTGAAGAAGTTGCTGCTGTAACAAAACGTAAGTTAAATAATAAAGTTACCAAACACTTCACTTACCCTAACTTACCCTTAAACTCTTTGTGATGTTTTTTGTTTAGGATTTTGCTTTAGTGGGCTACCTTTTTGTGACAATGAAGCTAAAGACATTTTACACCAACACAAAGTTGTATCAAATAAATATTATGAAATCAAATATACCGGTATATGTAAAAGCCCAAGGCAAGTTTACATTTTTGTTGACTCTTCAGATATATGTGACATGGGTCCCGTTTCCCCAAATTTTTCCCTTGCTTTAAAGGAGACAATTTTAGGGTTTAAAAATTGCTCATTTTTTGATAATTTTTATTTATTAATGTACTGCTCAGCGGAATTAAAAGTCTTTTTTACACTGCTGCTGTATTTAATTTTCAGTAAGAACTATTTATATTTTATTTAAAATGGTAAAATTGTAACCGCAAAATTATGTGGTCAAACTTTATATAAAGAAGAGAAAGGAAAACACCAGTATCTAATTCATTCTCAATATTCATTTTTGACTTTTGGGAAAATTTTTTCACATTTTCAAGAAATAATTTCTTTTAAAAAACAAGGCAATTTTTAACCCCAAATTTTTTCAATTTTTTGTATGAAGCTTAATCGGACACGGGCAATCCAGTTATAATTCCATATTCAATTTTTCAGTTTATTTTTGTTTCCATGGCAACAAATGAGAAATCATTAAAAAGTCATTTCAAAAGCAATATTTTTTCTCCTGCTAAATTTTTTATTTGAATATTTAAAAAAATGTTAGCATTTCTCTAAGATTTAATTGAATTTCTTTTTTTTCCCCACCATTTTTTTTGGTTTATTTTCAAGGTGCTTTTAAAGTTTTAAATGTGTTTTTTAACTTTTCAAGAAAAAGAATCTTGCTATATGGTAAGCATAGTAAAAAAGAGCAATAACCCATTTTGTGATTTAGTTTCATATTTTTGAACCCCAAACATAATATTTTTGTTAACATTTTACTATATTAAATTAAAAAAAAAATTTATATCTTCAAATTTATATGAATTTAACTATTATTAAACTAAGTTTTCTTTTTACAAAAAATATAAATTTTTTTGTGTAGACTTTCTTTAGATTGGGGCAGTAAATTTTAAGGGAATTTATAGGTCTAAAATCTGCAAAAAAAAAACTTGAATTTCTTCTTTGTTCAGCTGGGGAATTTAAAACAGAAAGATATGCAAAGGATTATTAACCCTTTACCACATATATACGCGAAACAACGCATTTTCGACCCCCCCCCCCTTTTTTAGGCCTCAAATAGTGAAAAAATGTCCTATTTGGGCCCCAAACACATGTTTTCGTTTGAGAAATGTTGGTCAAGAAAATTTTGGACTTGTGAGAGGCTAAAAATGACCCCAGGTCGATCATAATATAACGTGTAACCAACGCTGAAAAGCCTTTGACTCTATATCAATCCCTTGAGAAGTTGCAGCACTTTGAAATAAATTTTGATGGAAAAAATCGAGGCAAAATAGTGATTTTTGGCAATTTTGAGATGTCCCCTCGTTGCCATGGTAACAGGAAATTTAAGACTGAGCATGTCGTCACAAAGGCAATGGTCCAGTCAACATTTGTGCCAAGTTTGATTAGTATTGAAGCATTTTTCATAGTTTCATAGCAGTTTGAACTTGTAAGAGGAGGCTTTTCAGTAAAAATGGCCATTTTTCACAATATGCTCATGGGGGAAAGGGTTAAGATATACTCTGGAATAAATAGCCTGATTAGAGTGAAAAGCGTTTAGTGTTTCAATTGTTTTAAATTTTGGGTCATTTTTCACAATTAGAATAATGAGTAAGCGGGAATAGTCTGAAACTTTGCACACAAGTTCTTGGTCTAGAACAACTATATCAATGGAATATTAATCTTGGAAAATTATCTCCAGTCCGGTCACGTCAAAAAACATCAGTGGCCCTTTAACATTTTGATTAGTACATGTAGTAATAGATTTCAGTATCAAAATAGTAAAGTTGGTAAGTAAGTGGTCTGAAGCATGGTCTTAGTGCATAGATATGTAGGCTGACCTAACTTTAAACTGTTTGCAAAAGCAAATGATGATTAGCTTTGCAGATTATTAGTGCTAGCTTTTAAATAATAAATGTTTAATAAAAGCTGGTCAAATATTGTTATAGAGCCTGATAACATGCATTCAGTGTAGATAGAATTCCTTGTAGAATTGAATGTTGGCACATGTTTGATCTGGTTATGTTGACATTGATAAAACAAACACAGGTTAATCAATGTGAAAACTTGGAGACACATATTATTCTGAGAAATAGAATGTCACTAGCCTGGTAACTGCCCTAACCCAATCTGGGACATAAAATGACACCAGACTGGTTATTGTTCTAACACTGTTCTTTCTTGTTTTATGAATTTGAATGACAGTTTATGATGATCAGATCTTCATTTTTATTATGTTCACATGTTTCATAACCACCTGTCTGAATGATGAAAGAGAATAATGAGTAACAGGGCTGTATTTTACTTTTTGTCCAATTTAGGCATGTGCTTGACAATTATATTTTGAGCTGTAGAAGTGATAAGTGCTGTTCCAAGTCAAAAATAGGATAAGTCCGGAACTGTGAGATACTAAAGTAATAAAAATTCTGTCTGAAGTTACAGCTTATATTAGACCTGACAAAAATTTAATTCTTATGATTTCTTTATAGTTACAAAATTTATGAAATAAAAAATATCTTAAAATTGAATATTTCCTTTTATTCTGGCCTCCTCAAATTCAATTCCAGCCTCCTCAAAAATATTCATAATGACAACCCTGCAGAAGTAGATTCATCAAACTCTTATAATACCAGATTTTTTCATACAATCCTTAAATAGCCTATTAGTCTGAGATATTTATCTATGTGAAAGAACATATCCTCCCACAAACAGGATATTAGATTGTGTATGAATAGGGAGAAAAATGGCAATTTTATTGTGCTATTCTAGAAACAAAAATGGGTTGCTGATTTCCCTCAGGCTGTTTACTTTAGATCAATAGTGATCAATAGAAAATTCGGAAATATTGGTACCGGTAAATAAATATTGCATCATGGCAACTGTTTTATGAGATGGGGGAGGTTGATGTAATGAATTGTACCATGTATAGATGTATATGCATAGAGCCAAGCCTTGCGTCTTCATGTTCGTACAGTCTGATCATGGCTGACTGACTTCAAAATTACTTTCATCCACATTGATAATGGACTGCTTTACAAAGGCATTGAGACAAGTCTGGTTCAGGAAATTCAAGAGGTTAAAGGTTACACAGATCAATTATTCATTATTTGTATAACTATAACTCAACTGGTAAACATGCATTGATCATTTACCTCATATAAAACTCTCCCATTCTAACAAAAAAAGGTAATATTCCTGAAAGAATAAACATTTTAACATTGCCTTATGAATTGCCATTTGCTGGGAAAAGTTCAGTAATGTATATTGGATATTTGTCTAAATGCTCAATATCTGAGATTTTTGAATAAGAGGTTTAGAAAGAAATGATTATGGTCTTTTGATTTCTTTTTTGTGTTCTATGAATAACTTAAAATAATTGATTCATTTATGTTTGATGGAGAGAAGGAAGTTAAACCAGTAATGCATTCTATTAGGATAGGCACCTGTCAAAAAGCGTAATTATCAATGAGATTATTTTGATGTTAAGGCATTTTTAGTAATTTCTTTCACATTTTAGTGGTCGAGGGGTTAGACTCGATGACTTCTAATCAAGTTACCTCTCTGGCGTGGGTTCGATCCCCGTGAAAATGCTTCGGTAGTTTAGAAGGGAGGAAGGTAGTCTAGTACTGGTGTAACTCTCCAGGATTGATGGTTAGGAAACTACCCGCCTATATGACTGAAATACTGTTGGGAAAAGGCGTAAAAAAATGAAACAAACAAACAAAACAAGGACAGACCAAAACAAAGTGGCTTTGTGCTTCTTTATTTTTTTAATAGCGAAAAAATATCACGACGTCACATTTGCCCTGATGATCATAAGAGAAACCGGTTGGCAAATAATTAAATAAGTTAAAATGGACTGTGTTTTTTGTTTTATTTATATGTGACTTTTTTCCGGCACTTGTTTTCATTTTTTGTATATATATACAACAACAACAACAACAACAACAATTGTGTGTTTCTATTTATAGAATTGCGTGTTTCTATTTATAGAATTGCGTGTTTCTATTTATAGAATTGCATGTTTCTATTTATAGAATTGCGTGTTTCTATTTATAGAATTGCATAAATTGCTAGTTACTATTTATAGAATTTTATAGAATTGCGTGTTACTATTTATAGAATTGCATGTTACTATTTTTAGAATTGCGTGTTTCTATTTATATAGCTAACCAAAACTAATGTGACAAGACAGACCAACTAAATTTATAAAAAGGAAACGTTAAGATATGTTCAAACCTTTCGAGGTTTGCTTTTAGAAAAAGTAAAAAGTCGAGACTTGCCCCCGCCCGGCGGTGGCTCTTGTTGGTAATTAACATGGATTGTTAATACCATTTGTAATGCGTAGAATTTATTTCTTTCTTTGTTCATTTCACTTTTAAAGTACATTTTCAAAATTTTCATGAAAATCATCATGAATCTGAAGGCATGCTGCTGTAATAGAGAGTGTACAATAATTTAATAGTGTAATGACTCGGAGAGGGATTGAGGTGATCAATAATGAGTCACCATGATGGTATTGTCTCTGTAAGAAACTCTCCCAATATTCTCCCACACCAATGCTCTTACTATCTATCCCTTTAGACTCTCTCTATATATATGGAAACATACTTGAGGATTTATTCATGAATCTATCAAAATATTGGTTAATATGACATCATTGGATAACAGGGTTAATGCCTGCGTCACAAAATTTTGTCTGCTTTTATTCAGAATTATCGGATGTTCACATTCTTGTAACAGTGTAAACCTTTAAAGGGTGTGTTGGAAAAATATATTTTTCTTTATTTACGCCAGTCTGTCTTGAAAGTTTGAAATACAACAAAAATGTGACATTTATAAACAAAAAAGATTTTCTTTCTTTAAAACATTCATGCTGTTAAAGACTTATATAAAATCAAGACATCAATAGGTTATTATGAATGTAAATAAGTGTTTTTGTTCTCTGCCAGTAAAGATCAACAAAAACTAAGGAAAATCATCAATAAATAATAAAGATTTTTGGTAACTCAGTGAGGTATGACATTTATAAAGTGACCAATAACAAGTTTTGTCCATGATGTCATGAATGAAAAACTAATTCACATTGACATTCAGCATGTAAGAAAATAAATATAATGGTGTAATGATAGAGTGCACTTCCTTCAGGGAAGTTAACCTTTCACTGATCATTTGTAAGAACACAAAATTAATGTCGTTTTCATGTTTACCCTTGGTGAATATTTTGTGAAACTAAATAACATACCTTTCCTATCTTATCTCTTATCTTCGATAGGGATATTTCACTAGTGACATGGAGTTTAACCTATACATGAATACAATATAGTTCACCGATTTTATATATAGAAAATAGAACTCATTATCAATATTTCATTCACATGGTAAAAATGTAAACAAAGCCAAATAAGATATCAAAAATACATGAAAGATGCAGAAAATACATCTGGGGTCTATATATATCATTGGCTGGTTTAAAATTTCATGAAGAAAAACTCAGTAAGGTCGAAATCTTCTTTCCATATCTCAATAAGGTCGAAATCTTCTTTCCATATCTCAATAAGGTCGAAATATTCTTTCCATAACTCAATAAGGTCAAAATCTTCTTTCCATATCTCAATAAGGTCAAAGTCTTCTTTCCGTATCTCAATAAGGTCGAAATCTTCTTTCCATAACTCAATAAGGTCGAAATCTTCTTTCCATAACTCAATAAGGTCGAAATCTTCTTTCCATAACTCAATAAGGTCGAAATCTTCTTTCCATAACTCAATAAGGTCGAAATCTTCTTTCCATATCCGGATTATTTTTCTTTAGAAATAAAGAGTTGATATTCATGCTTCTGAACTTGAATTTTGTGAAGTTAAGTTCAGAAGATTTTCTGATCCTGGCCTTTGGGAATATTGGACACTTGTTTACGATTTCTGTACAATTTAGTACTCTTACATAGTATCCAACACATAATATAGGATGTAATTATGCCAGAAAATGACTGTAAAAACTGCTAGTATTATATACAAGCAGGACCAAAACACATATTAATCAAAATGAGAATTGCCAATATTTGATCACAAAGGCATGAGCGGCTAGTTATTATTATAGACTTAGAAACTAGATTACTGTGGTCAGGTATTTGAAATATATTATATATACCACTGATAATTATAACCTGACAACCTCTTAAACCTCTTATTGTATTGAAATAAAAGATAACTTTATGCAAATTTGATCAATAAAAATCAGTTTGTTTCTTTCTACAAAGTATTTTGACTGGGTGCAGAGGAAATACCGCTGATTTTAGCATCAAATTCTACTCCCTGCCTTATAAATGATTTCCAACGTGTTAACAACTCGGACATGCAGCCACTTAATTATATAGAAACAATTGACATAATTAAAAACAATGGCTCTTTCAATTATGTTCTTCATGAGAAAATTGGACCCAAAGTAATTAATCACTGAAAGATTGAAAGATACATATGTATTGGAGATACCCTAATTATTTCTTTTCTTTTTTAGATTGAAATATATATAATTATATCTTTAATTTATGCAACAATTTTAATGTAATTGATGGTATTTTTGTTGCTATAGGAACTGAAGAAAAAGAGATAGAAGTATTAACAAAGTTGAAAGAGACAGTGGACAGACAGAGAGAAGAAATCAGGAAATATAGCCGTGAAATCAAACAGAAAAATGTTGATGTTGAAGCAGTAAGTCAATTAGTCATCAATTGAGCGGTGTCATGACAAAACCAACATAATGGGTTTGCGACCAGCATGGATCCTGATCAGACTGCGTGGATGCACAGGCTGGTCTGGATCCATGCTGGTCGCAAACCCATTATGTTGGTTTTGTCGTGACACGGCTCAATTAATGTTCAGTCTGGCCCAGGCTTGGAAATGACAGGCCATTATTACACTGACTTTAGAACAGATAGCCAGCATTTTTATGTGCACAGTGTGGCTAGTCTGCGATAATGGCTGTTGAATGTTATCATTTTAAATATTTATAAAATTAAACTAACAATATTGACAGTTACATAAAAGTTAGTTGAACTAGTATAGACCCTTTAAGTTAGAAAAAAAACTGTTGGGTCAAAGATGAGGAAACTGAAAAGCCTGCTAAAGTATGCTTACCATATTTTATTTGCGCCTTTTGAATCAGTTACTGAGATTTTCTTTTTACAATCTTTGCACAGGCAGCATTTGTTGAAATTGTTATACTGTATACATGTATTTTGTATTATAAATATACTGGAAGGAGTTGTGGGAAGTTTGTTAAAACAACACATACATGATGATGTACATGAAATACATGCTGTGATTCTAATTATGTAAATGACATAATTGATGAGACATGTGACTTTTATTAGAACTGTCACCTTTGAACAGACCAACATATGACAAAAACAGATATGTAATTAAGTGACTTGCCACTGAAATTGTCACTTCATAATTAATATTTACAGAATTTGCTGTGTATCATAAAACAGATTTTCTGTTGTTGGAAATCTTATGGGAATAGTTTCTCACAGATTTCCAGATTGTATTCAATGGCATAATTGATCTGTATTCATTGTTTAAATCTACCAGAAATGTAAATAGTTTTAAAATCAAATCAATAGGCTGTGAGTGAAAACAAAATGTCCTGGGTGATAACAACATTTTATTGGTGATAATATTTGATGATTAGAAAAGTTATACACATCATCTATTTGTTTATTGACTTGTAGTTCACTTGTTATGTTTGTAGACTGATCTGTTTTTTCCCTTAACATATGTAATAAACCTTGCATATCTTTCTGAACTCTCATGTGAGGAAGCAAAGAAGCATTTCATCTAGAGAATGGGAGGCCAGTAGTTCCTTGTTTATGAAATTAGAAAGCACAGATTAAGTGCCTACATTTACTGGTAAAGGCAGACTAGTCTGATTAGTTGAACAAACTTATGTTTTATAGTACATTAGTCATATACTGGTATATTATTCATATACTGGTGGACTAGAACCTAACGAGACTACTGTTCCTAGATTTCTTGCCAGTTTTTACCTGTTGTTGTTTCCCCCTCTAGTAACTGTCACCTTCTCCACAATTATGATTGTTACAGAAAAAAACATGGAATGCCAAAGCTCAATCTTTGTATAAGCTTTCTTACTATTTGTACATTGTTGTTTTACTTACAGTTTAACAAAACAACATTCAATGCCTTTATTTCCAGTTACAAGCACAGTCTGAGCGCCTCGTCAAAATCAACATCGAACTACGACGCAAGAATCAATCACACAAAAAGCATGCAAGAACTTTAATTTCAGAAAAGGTTGACTTAGAAACCCAACTGGCTGAAAAAGAGCAACAAGTGAATAAGGTTTGTATTTGTTTCTTTCCTTTTAGATAATGAATACCGTCATGAATCTTTCTTAAGCAGGTTTATTATTTTATTAGCATGTACTTTAGTGGCTTCTTCACTTATTTTGAAATTTTTTCCTAAAATGATGAATGGTTTTGTCCAGATTGAAAGATTGTAAAGTCTGTTAGTATAAAAGTCAGAAATTTAGCTTTCTCGCCACATGTACCTTTCATTATTCATTTTCTATCTTTCTCTTGCTGTCTACTGTCAAACATAATAAGATGTGGGTGAATCCATTTTATCGACAGCTATTTTTACTTTATCAATCAAAGCTTAGTGTTTCTGTATCTTGAAGAAAATGCCATTATTTACGAGGGATTTGTCATTGTTAACGGTAATAATGTGAGTGGTGATGTAGAAAGTTAATCTGGTGAATAACCTACATCTCTCCACATACTGTGCTCATGATGACTTCTTTATTAGATTTAAATATGTATCTCATGTAAATTACATGTAAACATGTCTCACAACTTCATTATTCCTAAAATGAATCATTTCCAAAAAAGAGGGGAAATTGAAGTTTGTAGACATTGCTAAGTATCAATATTACTTTTTGTTTTTATTTTCCCAATGAAAAATAGGAAATCTAATTAAAGAGTCTGCAGTTTTTGTAAATGATGAATTATTGTCAGCATATATCCCAGTGTCTGACATAACTTTCAATATATTGACTATCCTTTCTGTTTGTTTGTTTTTATAGATTACTTAAATTAATGTTTGTTTTGATAGATTATTTAAATTGATATAATAACCATTTCCTGTATTCCCTGCATCCATTATAGAAAATAAACATTCAATTGACCATGTGTCGAAATGATTTTATTTTTTCCATGATAATGAATCAACAATATTAATTCATTTTTGCTCTTCATCCATTGATACAAAAATAAAGCATTTAATAGCATTTGCTTAGTAATTCAAACCTTGCTCTTGGAGGGATTAAAATAAATGATATTTTATCTAGATTTAAGTGTCATTAACATATTGTAAATCCTAGTAAGTCCTTTTAAGTATATTTATAATAAAGTCTTGCAAAAGCAGTTGACTGATTTCATAAGGAAGGCTGTCTCCACACATGAGCTGTATACAGAGAGAAAATCAAATGAACTGTGGGTTTGAATCCCGACAGAGACTTTGTGGAGATTCCTTTCATGTGAGGAATCTATCCAGCTAGCTTACAGACCATCGGCAGTTCTACTCAGGTGCCTGCTCGTGCCTGAAATAATGCACAGAGGGGCATATGAGGTCTACCTCCATCAAATAAGCTTGAAAGTTGCCATATGACCTATTTTGAGTTGGTGCTTCATAACCCCCTCCCCCCATCCCCATCACCAATAAAAAATAAATGTATATGACATGATTCTATTTTAAGTTTTTTTGATACCCATAATGTGTTGGGGTTTACATAAACCAAACAAACAAAAATGTATAAATTGATGACCATTCTGTTTTGTCATAAACCAACAAAGCAAACATGATTTATACATAAGTGCGTGTCTCCACACATGAGTGTATAAGAGAGAAATCAAATACTGTGGGTTTGAATCCCAAACAACAAACTTTGTGGAGATACCTATTAATGTGTGTGAATAATCCAAACAGATTAAGCCATGAGTTTATCAGGTGCCTGCTTGTGCATGTGAAAACTATCCCCTCAACCAGAAGCATGAAAGGTTGATGATGACCTATACTGTGTTGGTGTTAACAATAAAAAAAAACAAAAAAAAATGATATATGAGAATAGTGTTACTATCCCCCAAAATGTTATTGAGTATATTGTTTTGAAAAAAAAAAACATGATGGTATATGATGACCTATACTGTGTCGGTGTGACCTAAAACTCAAACAGTCAAACAAACATGATAGTATATATGAGATTGATTTGTTTTTGGTATGTTTTTATTTTGGTGTATGACATTATCTTGTAGGTGAGAGAGATGATGAAGGACCAGGAAAGTATAGATGATCATCATATACCCGAGAGAAAACATGATAGTATAGTGAGTAATATTTCTTGCCGATTTAATATCTTAATATATTCTGTAACTTTTTATTGTATAATTAAATATGTTATCTTGTATGCTTGTTATATGATAAGATTCTGAATTCCTAAGTACAGTGAGTAATTTTTCTTGCCGATTTAATATGTTACTAGATCCTGAATAATTACTAGATTATTTACTAAGATATGTGTAATTATACATTGTATCTTGTATGCTTGTTATATAATAAGATTTTGAATTCATAAAGATGTCAACTGTTACAAAGATTAGTGAACATATCTGTATCTACAGTTCAAGAGGCAGTCACAATTACAACTAAATTTGTTACAACCCCTCCCCCCAAAAAAAACATTCAATTTTTTTTTCCAAATTTTAAGCTAATATTTAGAATGAGAAAGTAAAAATGGACTTTTTCAAATGTTTTTTTTTTCTTTTCAACATTTTAATGTGATACTGATAAACAATTATACATTTCTCATTGTGAAATTCTTAAGGTATGCTCCTATTAAAAAAGATGTCAATCCTCTGAGAAGTTAGCTGAAATGATGATTAACTTATTAGTATATAGCTAGACCTGATGAATGCATTAATGTTGGTGATATAATTTCAGACTGAGGATGTTGGTTTAGAAGGGGCGGATGCGCCAGAAGTCATAATGGTTAAAGACGGTGGTCTCAATACTAATGAGGAAAGTACACCACAACTTACTGATAAGCTCAGTCTGATAGGCAAAATAGTTATTGACAAACAGGTAAGTCCAGCCTTAAAAGATGTTCTTTGTTTCTCAAACATGTGATCATGTTTTGGTACCTGTTTTGGTAAACAATTTTTTATCTAAAATATTTTCCTTTTGAACATTTTAAAGCAGCACGCCTCCAGATTCATGCTAATTTTCATGAAAAGTTTGAAAATGTATTTGAATGTGTAATATTGTGAAGAAACCAAAAGGAAGCAATTTACACATAATCAATGGCACTTACAAACCACGTTAATTACCGAAAAATGGCCAAAATATGCGTAAATAGCCTTTACTGTGTTAGTAACGCAGTAGAAATATAGTTGTAAATAATGAAAATCAGTCATTAATCGCACATAAGATATAAAAATATAACTTGAATCTTAAAACTTCTTACTTTTCCTTGCATCTTAGTACATTTTTCTCAGGTTTGATTTTATTGAAATATTTTGACTCATCCGGAGCATGTAGCTTTAATTAAAAATACATGTCTAAAATGCAGAATCATGAAACAGTTATGAAGATATGATTCTCACTCACTGACAGACTTTGCTTCCAAGTTTTGGGGGTGGGGGAGAAAATGATTTTGGAAGCAGTGATTTTATTGAGTAGGTAGAGAGAATAGGAAACATTGTTATTTAAGGCCTTGTGACTCTTTATTAATTAGGGCATGCCTTATTGATGATACTTTCTATTGATATAGGACAGTTTACATTTTGCCTATATGTCTATATGAAAATTCTTGAAAACGTCCTTAAGTATCAAACTTGTACGAAATTACTTTTGTCTTAAATTAAACAATTATTATGGACATAATACTTTAACCATATAAATGTTCATTAGATTTTCCCAATTTTTTTATTGACAATAAATTTACTACCTAAATTTACCATATCACCTGATGTATATTGTGACAGTTTTGTTGTGTTGTTTGTATTTTAGGACCCTAACAGACCTAGGTTTACCTTGAATGTTTGTATTTTAGGACCATAACAGACCTAGCTTTACCTTGAATGTTTGTATTTTAGGACCCTAACAGACCTAGGTTTACCTTGAATGTTTGTATTTTGGGACCCTAACTGACCTAGGTTTACTTTGAATGTTTGTATTTTAGGACCCTGACATACCTAGGTTTACCTTGAATAATTGTATTTTAGGACCTTAACAGACCTAGGTTTACCTTGAATGTTTGTATTTAAGGACCCTAACAGACCTAGGTTTACCTTGAATGTTTGTATTTTAGGACCCTAACAGACCTAGGTTTACCTTGAATGTTTGTATTTTAGGACCCTAACAGACCTAGGTTTACCTTGAATGAACTGAGAACAGTCCTGATGGAGAGAAATGAGCTGAAAGCCAAACTGATGGAAGTAGAAGAGGAACTGACAACATTTAAACCCAAGTTAGTTTATCAATGCTTTCCATATACGGATATGCTGCTAGTCTTTATGATAAGAATAATTTGCTTTATATTATATATATAGTGATGAAACTCTTTGCTGTTTAAACTTTTTTCTTTTAGTTTGCATGAAAAGTTGTTTTCACCTCAAATTTGTATATTTTCCCCATATATTATGGCTTTAATGAGAAAGAGTGTGCCTCAATCTTGGGATATTGTAAATATTTTTAAGACATCCTAAATTATGACATTGCGAGACACCTTCACATGGATTTAATGTTTTATAAAGTTGCCATCCCACTTTTTATCTGTTTCACTCTGTGCATCCAAGTCTGTCAACTTCTAGTATACCGAGATAAAATCAGTACTAGTTCAAAAGCAGGCCATGTAAATTCTTCCTTACTGTATCAAATTCTGACACAGAAATTAGTGATAATAAATTATCTTAATAGGTTATACACAACTAAATCGAAATCTTTCTTTCTATATTTTTTTCCTGCTTTGGCAAATACTATAGTCCTCACTGACACACTGCACAAGTTGTATATGTACAGAGTTTCCATTATAATAAGCACTGCTTGATTAGTGCAAAGCTTTGTATGGAATAAGCAAAAAATATCTGTTTGATTAAAGATGCATGATGATTGCAGGAATGATATTCCTTCTAGACAGACACCTCTTCAGCCCTTTTCTTATATTATCTGATCAGTTAACAATCCCTTTTTACAAGGAAATGTTTGATTTATATAAATCATTCTTTTCAGATTAAAACTTCTTTATAATTACATTCTGTTACATTTGTTGTGCAAAACTGATATTATTCAATCAATGTATATTAAGAAATTTTCTTGATGAGTGAATTAAATTAGGCAAACAATACTAATTGTCTTGGCATGAATTTAACAAAAGAACCCTTCATTTCCCCTTTTGTTGTAGATTAGATATAGATGAGTTTGTCATTATGTAAGTAAATGACCCTTTTCCTTCAAGTACTCTCTAAATCTAATCATGTATTTTCTGTGCCTATTTCTATACTCTCTAACCCTTCTAACACTAGTGGCTATACTTATATACAGATGTACACTTGGCATCTAGTATTAGAGCAAACCGAAGCTGCACATTTATGCAGTCTAACCAACTTAGCTGTAAGCTGTTAAAATTTTATTATTAAGATACAAAACCCCTCAAACTTGCAATGGACTGTTCCAATTTCAAAGCAGGACAAGTCCATTTTGAAAATTTAGGAGATTCTTGGATAAATTCTCACTAAGTTGCACATAATCATAGGAACATTTTTCTGGGTTTAACCTCAATCAGCCCATACATAGAATGAATTATCAGAAATGGTCATTCATCCATTTTATGGCCACCATTACTGGTTAAACCTAAACAAGTTTTTACTTGTTTGCCAATGGGATGTCATAAATTATCTGTTATGTGGACCAGTAACATTCAGTTATTCATGTTTTTGTGTTTTTGTATATATGGTGAACATTTTGCGGCTGCTAGGACTTAACCTCTCTAATTGTATGTCTGTAAACTTTATGCTGTCACTTGTGGATGCTTATTTATATCACAACTGAAATCATAGATTGACATCCAAAATAAAAACCATTGCCTTATTTACATATATGACAACATATGTATTTTTGAACCCTTAATGAAAGACCAACTTGTATGTGATTTGTTTGAAATGTCTTTAGATAAACTTAACATATGTTTTTCTATTTTCTGCTTACAGCCACAGCAGTATTTATCTAAATTCCTTGTCTGAGACAAAAGAAGTTTATTATCTTATGATATCCTTCAATAACTGTCACTTTGTTAAACAAATAGAATTACATTTTATACATACTTTAAAAAAAGAGATAGATAGAAACTTCTGTGGCTCAACTAACTTGCAGTTTGAATGAAGATGAATTCATGTTTAAAAGTTTAGCATTTTATAATGTAATTAAGGGACACTTTTCATTATATTCTTATATATATAGTTACATAATACCTGTCAAACCCCTTTCTATTAAAGCAACTTGTTCACAGTTTCTGGTATACATTGTATACACACCTATAAGACAGACCATGTATTAGTCTATGCCTTAATTTTACTATTGAAAAGGCTTAGTCTTATAAATGATTTGTCTTGTAGGCAAGTAAATACAAAAGAAAATTACAACATTAATGTTGATCCTTATTTTCTTAATTTTTGATGTGTTTATACAATATGGAAAATAAGAAATGTAAGTTTTAAGTGTTCAGAGTTAAGAAATTGAAAAAATAATTTGAGCCGTGTCATGACAAAACCAACATAATGGGTTTGCGACCAGCATGGATCCAGACCAGCCTGCGCATCCGCGCAGTCTGATCAGGATCCATGCTGTTCGCTTACAGACCCTATAACAAGTAAAGAAACTGATAGCGAACAGCATGGATCCTGATCAGACTGCGCGGATGCGCAGGCTGGTCTGGATCCATGCTGGTCGCAAACCCATTATGTTGTCGCGGCTCATTTATTTTTTTAATAATTTGACACACATCTTGTCATAGATAATGTTATGATACTTTGTTGATATTATCAATTTTTGAAGCGAGTAAATATGTATGAATAATTTCTCTTCAAAAATGATATACTTTGACGACAAACCTACCTTTATGCAAAGTTTTTGACAAATTTTGAGATATTCATACATGTAACTGTGAACAAGTGGCTTTAATATAAACATCTTGATTAAAACTTTACTTATTATAGATATGATTATATTATGCTTGTAGTGAATCTGTTGTTCTGCTAACTTGCGTGCTTGTGTATTTTTTTATTGTGAACAGAGATGGTATAGATGGTAATTCTAATGGTAATGCAAATGCCCTGTCCGAGGAACTGAGCAGCGCTGATAACGACTCTATCTTATCAAATGATGGGTATGTTTATAAGCACAGAAAAATGTCATTCTAGTTTTGTTTCATGTCATTCTGGTTTTATTTCATGTCATTCTGGTTTTAATTCATGTCATTCTCTGTTTATAGCTTGAATATTCAAAGAATAAAATGGGGATATGCTCCCCACTCTGGTGTGGGCATTTGGTCAAACTCTGGTTTATATTAGGTCGTGCTATATTTTCATATGTCATTAATCACTTAAGGTATTAAACTTAAAGCTCATCTATATTTTGAAACTTCACAAGTGTTAACTGGATTATAATTGTAGGTCACTGGCCAATGTCTATAACTGTAACATTTATTGAATTATTTCCCTTTGTAAACTATTAAAATTTTACATTGAAGTTTTAACCTCTCAACCATCAAAAATATTCATTAAAGACTTGACATATATCTTTCAAATCATTATTTATAACCAGTGTCCTCTACTGAATTATTCCTAAGATTAACTTTTAATTTTGAAAATCCAGGTTACCGGTAAGGTAATTTCTCGTCAACCATTTAAGATATTCAAATGAATAAGGGGTCGTTATTGTAGATCACAAATAAAGACCCATATTTTTCAAGCATTGATTTTAACTGATAATGTCCCTTTAGGGCTTTTGTTGACAATAATAAAGTCAGATTAAGTGCTGTTTAATTCTTTTTTTATTGGTAGAGATAAAGTAGAAATATCTGTATATCTTCTGCATAAACTGCAGAAGGAGCATTACAAAAGTTAGTGTATAACATTCTTAAATGATTACCAAGATTGCATCAATAAATTGTGAGCAGTTTCATTATGGACCTTTGAAGTGAAATACGTGTATATAAACCTTTACATGAAACAATGCATGCTTCATTACCAAAGCTGTTTTAAGAGGGACCTTACATAAGATTGTTTAAACTGGTTGCATCTAGTTTAACCAATGTAACATTCCATGACGACTTTCTGTTAAATCATGTATTTGTGGAACATATCGCCTTTTATTTCATGTTTTCATCTTTGCCTTATTTATTGTAACATAGTTTGTTATGTTTCCTTTGTGCATTCCATGTTATCTTGTAGCATGTGTTTTAGGTTGTTGCATATGCGGTTATCTTGTTTGGTTATTTTAAGTTATCACTAGGTGCCATATTTTATGATATAAAGTTGGACACAAAGTGGAATAAAAGGAGTCTAATGAAAATTGAAATTAAAAGCTTTTGAAAGCAACATTTGTGATAAATGCCAATGTAATTTAGCTCATCTAACTGCTTACGGATAAGCTTTTTGAAAGAACATGATATCTGGTATAGACACATTTTTTTTTACACAACCTTTCTCCTGAACCACTTGGTAGATCTTGACCAAATTTCTCAGGAATGATTCTTAAATGACTCCCTACCAAAGTTATATAACTGGTTCCAGGCTGATGCATAAGTAGGTTACTACGAGCTAAAAACAGAATTAAGAAATAAAATAAAGTGCAATCTGAGAGTAAAGACACTTGACATGTAGCATCACATAATTATGGTCATCGACTCCTACAAAAGCTACTAAATCATGCCAATGGAGTCAAAATATGACCTGGCCAAGGTCAAATTTGTTACATTGACTTATATAGAAAATAAATTTTAAATATCTTCTTCTAAGAAACTGCATTCCCAAGAGCTTAGGTATTAGGCATGTAGCATCACCATGTGGTTCTTTATAAATGTCTTATAAATCATGCCCATAGGGGACAACTTTGACCCTGCCCTGGGAGTCACTTAATTTACATAGACTTATATAGGAAAACACATTAAAGTCTTCTCATCTAAAACTATAATTATGTCAAAAAGTTTAATTATTTAATATGTAGCATTGCTAACAGTAGACCTCTACAAATGTTATCTAATTGATTATTCATGTTTTTGGGTTTAAAAATTGCTCTTTTGTTACATTAAGTTATATAGAAAAAGACTAAAATGTTTTCTCCTCAGAAACTTCAATATCAAAAGCTAAGATATTTGGCAATTGGCAGTAACCGTATTATTATAGTTATAAATTGTTTATTCTTTAAGCATCATTTTGTAATCCTCAACAAAAGTATAATAAATTATGCCTCCAAAAATTGAAATTAGCCCTACACTGGGGATCCCTTAATTTACATAAACTTGATATAAAGGCAACACAATAGAATATTTTTGTGTGAACAATATGTCCTCGAGCTCTATATTTGGCATGTTGAATTGCCTGATGTACTTCAACAAAAGTTGTGGCTCAAGAGACAAAATTGACCCTACCCCAATATGACCCAATGACCTTTTCCTGCCTTCAAGAATTATGACCCTTTTCTGGAAATGAAGCTCAGGTAAGTGATGTTGGGCCATCCAAGCCCTTTTGTTGAAATCATTGTTACATGATTTTTTTCTATATAGATTTATTATCTGTCTTTTAGCTTTATAGAGTTTTGCTTTTTTCTGCTTTTATTTGAAATTGCTTGTTTTCAGCTATGTTTTATATCTAGAAAGAGTAGAAATCATTATGTGTTTATTTTGATATCAAAAAATATTGCAAACAAAGTTAATTGATAGAAAATGTCATCATGATATAATTCTGATACTGTATGTGCTTTTTGCATTAGTGGGGAGAAAACATTTGTAAATGTTAGAACATATTTTTATAAGAAAGAAAAAAATAAATCTAAATAAAAAGCAAAGGCAAACAAATTATGATGATTTCAAAATTGCTTAAATCACTTTATTGTGTGAAATTAGAATTCAACATGAATTGTACACTCATAATTCCCTGTTAATCAAATTTTGGTCTGTCACAGAAGTAAGGTCAGGTGTACTGGCTTATATACATGTATTTATGCTAGTTAAGTATGAACTTATATATTTATGCTAGTAAAGTATGATCTTATATATTTATACAAGTAAAGTATGAATTTTATATGCTAGTAAAGTATAATTTTTAATTATTATGGTGTTGTTTATCACAGCAGTACATTAACTTAATTTTTTTTTTAATCAAATTAATATATAATTATGTATTAATGTATATTACCATATTTTGTGGAAACAAATATTATTTTGTGGAAACAAATATTATTTTGTTGAAACAAATATCCAATTTTATGTATACATGGAGTAAATATTTGTGTACAGAAGTTGTTGACATTTTCAGAGATGAGAATGATGAGGACCTGCCTGTACAGGGACCAATAAACAAGGAACCGTTTGATAAACTACATGGTAAACGCCCCTCAGGAATCAGACGATTGTATGTATCATTTTATATACCACTGTTTTATTGTATCGTTTCTTGCATATCTTTCTTTTGTTAGTTACTAAACCTATACAAGACATTTTGTATGAACACAGGGACTTACCCCTTGCCACATTTAATATCTTATATGGTCTTGTCCAACCTTAAATCTGGACAAACCTATTTATCATTTTTTGGGGGAATTTCAAAATATGTACTGACTGAATATACCGAACAGTACAGACCATGATCAGACAGCATGGATAGGGCATATAATTATGCCCCTGTTTGTTCATGCTAGTGTCCTGCTGTCCGTGGACTGATGAAAAAGTAAAATTAGAGGCCATCCATGTCCTATGGACACATATTTAGTTGTAAATTATATAGAAATAATATGTGTATAAAACCTTTATGTGAAATGTTTTGTTTAAATAAAGAAATTCATGTTGCAAATTTTCTGTTTTATACATGTACATTCATTATGTCTTGTAAAGAAACTTGGAACAGTAATCATCAGTGTTTTATAACTTACTTGTGAGAACATACTATTAATGGCATAATCTGAATAAGTTTCTAATATGTGTTTTGCCATATTTTAATTATTAAAAGTTTTGTACTTAGAGTTGAGTGTTTACAATTTATAGATTTGAGCTAATTATAAACATTGATGAATATTGTTCCAGTTATTTTATTGTGTGTATGTATAACAAGGGTTGTTTCCAACGGAATGTTTTCTAATCTGCTAACAAATATCACCACTTTTTATAGAATTCATTCTCCTTTTCTTATGCAGTGAAAAATATAGGACATAAAGCAAAATAAAGTGATGGTTTTAATTTGAGCATTTATAGACAGTCTGGGAAGTGAAAACTACATAGGCAGAGCTACTGCCCGTGCTTCAAAAATATTATAATATCCTCTAAAATTCCATCCTGGATTTAATAATGTGAATTATGATGTCCCGGTTTAATGTACCTGAAAGTAATTAGCCTTTGCCACCAGTGTACTGTTGGCGGACTAACTTCATATTTCCATCTTGATAACTCTAAATTTTATAGCAGATTCAGGGTTACGCTTCCTTCGCAGCTCATTGAATACACTACTGTTACTTCACAATGAACAAAAGTGAAACATTCGACCGATGCGCAGGAGAGTAGATCAGGGTTAATATCAAGGCTATCATATATGTGCAGTATAACCATATGCAGTTGCTTATTACAAAACATGGCATGTCCTTAACATAAATTAAGCAGAGTAAATACTAGATAGATGGATGTATAAAGGGATTACTCAATTAATAAATGGATTATAGACCTAGGTTTTCATAGACAGAGTTTAAAACTATGAAGATATATGCCAATAACAGTTATATCTAAAAACTCTCTTGCATGTTAACCGTTGTTCTGCAGTATCCAGCTATCTTTTATTAGTTTTTAAAGGTTTTCAATATGAAAAAGATAAAATTGAGTAGTTAGCTTAGTGAGACAGCATGGATAATGGTATAGACAAGTCAGTAAAACTGTTAGCACATTAATGGAATAGTTTTAATATCTATTAAAATCCTCACAATTCACAAGATGCATTGTGAGTTATATGCATCATGCATTACCCTTGGGATCATAGTTAGGATCTGTGAGTAAGCCACATTGTATTTAACAGTGCACTGTTAGGCCACCACATCGTTCCTGGGCTGGCTGTCAAGCAGTTTACCAGTACTAGTTGCCTTCACTTTGGCAAGGAAATGATAACTTGAGTACAATAATTATATCCGAGCTGTGGTACAGTGCAACACAATGAAAGGAATCGAACCCTGGTCACCTGATTCACAGTCCAACACTCTATCTGTTAAGCTTACTGGAATGAAATTTAAAAGTTGACTTTATATAATTATAGTTAGACAAAAATTCACATTTGCATTTGATTCTTATGTACTAGAGTTTTAGTCTAGATTAGTGGTTATAAGTAAGCGTTTACCAAATCAAATTGGTCAAGAATTGTGCAGCCGATTGACCAGTTTAATTTGGTAAATTCTTACTAACAGTCACAAATTTAGTGTTTGAAATTATTTTTATGAACCATCAATATACTAGATTGATTAATAGACTTACCCGGTAGCAGATTAACTGAAGTAAATGTGTTAAGATTCATTTAAAAAATAAATTAAAAAATTGTAACGTCATTTTTCCGCCAACGTATGTTATGCTTTAATTATTACGTCATTATTATTATTATCCTGATGAAGGTGTTGTTCACCTAAACGTGCCAATAACGAAATAATAATATTTTGAAAAACTGACTACGTGTTGTTGTTTAAAGGTCGTTTGATTAAGATTCATTTGAAATACTGTGATCCTATTGTACAAATTTTTTTTTAAAAAATGATTTCAAATACTAATACAGTTTTATGTCATTTAGCATGAAATTACTAAATTTCAGAAAATCTGGAATAATATTGAACAATTTTTTAACTGCATGATTTACCACAGATTATTAAGCCACCTTCTCTAGTACTTAGATTATTATTAGTGTATTGAAAAAACTTGTCAAAATATTCAATATTATATTATTTTAATAGGGTTTTTGTAGCAACTTTTTTTTACATTGTTGTTGTTATATATATATGTGACGTCTTTTCTTATTTTTAATGAATTTTTGTGCACTTGTGTATTGTTATTTATATATCATATAGGGCAAGGGGCATAAATCTATTTTGCACTTTGAGGGTAACAGACATGTTTAATTCCCCTGCATAGATTGATAGATCTGGAGCAGATTTTGTCCTGTTGGTTTAGCTGTGATATCATTATTATCCCCCGCTGAAAAGGCGGCGGGGGATATAGAAATAGTCTCCGTCCGTCCGACCTTCCGTCCTTCTGTCCGACATTTTTGTCCGGAGCATATCTCTAAAAGTATTTGAGTAATCAACTTGAAACTTCATAGGTGGATAGACCTCATTTAGGAGGAGTGCAGTGCACAAGAATGATAACTCTACCCTGCATAATTTTTTAGTTATTGCCCTTTGTTATTTTTCAAAATTGATTTTTGTCCAGAGCATAACTCCAAAAGCCTATGAGATATCAACATGAAACTTCATAGGTGCATAGATCTTACTCAGGAGGTGTGCAGTGCACAAGAATGATAACTGTACCTTTCATAATTTTTGAGTTATTGCCCTTTGTTTTTTTATTATGCCCCCGCCATGTAATGGCCGGGGCATATAGTGTTACCCTGTTCCGTCCTTCCGTCATTCCGTCCTTCCGTCCTTCCGTCATTCCGTCCTTCCGTCATTCTGTCATTCCGTCATCATCAGTTTCCGTTCATTATCTTAGTAACGGTTGCACATATTCAACTCAAATTTGGCATATGGATATGTCATGAGAAAATACAGGTCAAGTTCGAATTTGGTCATGGTTCGATGATTTTTGGCAGAGTTATGCCCCTTTTACTTTGAAAATAATATGAAATTTTCAGTTTCCGTTCATTATCTCCCCAACGGTACAACACATTCAAATCAAATTTGACATATGGATATGTCATGAGAAAATACAGGTCAAGTTCGAATTTGGTCATGGTTCGATGATTTTTGGCAGAGTTATGCCCCTTTTACTTTGAAAATAATATGAAATTTTCAGTTTCCGTTCATTATCTCCCCAACGGTACAACACATTCAAATCAAATTTGACATATGGATATGTCATGAGAAAATACAGGTCAAGTTCGAATTTGGTCATGGTTCGATGATTTTTGGCAGAGTTATGCCCCTTTTACTTTGAAAATAATATGAAATTTTCAGTTTCCGTTCATTATCTCCCCAACGGTACAACACATTCAAATCAAATTTGACATATGGATATGTCATGAGAAAATACAGGTCAAGTTCGAATTTGGTCATGGTTCGATGATTTTTGGCAGAGTTATGCCCCTTTTACTTTGAAAATAATATGAAATTTTCAGTTTCCGTTCATTATCTCCCCAACAGTACAACACATTCAACTCAAATTTCACATATGGATATGTCATGAGAAAATACAGGTCAAGTTTGAATTTGGTCATGGTTCGATGATTTTTGGCAGAGTTATGCTCCTTTTACTTTGAAAATAATATGAAATTTTCAGTTTCTGTTTATTATCTCCCCAACAGTACAACACATTCAACTCAAATTTCACATATGGATATGTTTTTGGAATGCCCAGGCCAAGTTCGAATTTGGTCATGGTTCAATGATATTTGGCAGAGTAATGCCCCTTTCACTTTGAAAATAATATGAAATTTACAGTTTCTGTTCATTATCTACCCAACAGTGTTACATATTCAACTCAAATTTGATATATGGGTATGTCAAAGGAATGGGCAGGTCAAGTTGGAATTTGGTCATGGTTCGATGATTTTTTGGCAGAGTTATGTCCCTTTCACTTTGAAAATAATATAGATACATCTTAGGAATAAGCAGTTTAAGTTTGAATTTGGTCATGGTTCAATGATTTTGGACAAACTTATCTTTCTTGAATATTGGAAAAAATTTGAACTTTCAGTTTCAGCACTCATACTTTTGTGGAAATGTATGTAGCCATTATTTTGGCTACAAATATGAAATATGCTATTTTCAAAAGGTTAAGACTGAATAATTTCAGTGCCTTGAACATTGTATGAAAATGGTTTGTGTAAACGTTGAAAAGTTTTAGGGGCTTTGAACTTAAAATGAAAACAATAATTTGTGCAAACAAATTTGGAACTAAATATTATAACATCTGAAATTTTGGCTGCATGCGGGGGCATCCGTGGCATGATGACACATTTCTAGTTTCATACTTAATTTTTCACCTGAGTGGAGCATAACTCAAAAAGTGTTTGACATATCAACATGAAATGCCATAGGTGGATAGATCTTATTGAGGAGGAATGTTGTGCACAAGAATGATAACTCTTCCCTATACAATTTTTGAGTTATTGCCCTTTCTTATTTTTCATGCTATTTTGTCCAGAGCTTATCTCAAAAAGTATTTGAAGTATCAACTTGAAACTTCATAGGTGGATGGATCTCATTGAGGAGGAGTGCAGTGCACAAGAATGATAACTCTACCCTGCATAATTTTTGAGTTATTACCCTTTGTTATTTTTCAAAATTAATTTTTGTCCAGAGCATAACTCAAAAAGCCTTTGAGATATCAAAATGAAACTTCATAGGTGCATAGATCTCACTAAGGAGGAATGTAGTGCACAAGAATGATAACTCTACCTTTCATAATTTTAGAGTTATTGCCCTTTGTTATTTTTCATGCTAATTTTTCACCCGAGTGGAGCATAACTCAAAAGTGTTTGAGATGTCAACATGAAATGTCATAGGTGGATAGATTTTATTGAGGAGGAATGCTGTGCACAAGAATGATAACTCTTCCCTGTACAATTTTTTAGTTATTGCCCTTTGTTCTTTTTCATACTATTTTGTCTGGAGCTTATCTCAAAAAGTATTTGAGGTATCAACTTGAAACTTCATTGGTGGATAGATTTTACTGAGGAGGGATGCAGGACACAAGAATGATAACCTACCCTGCATTATTTTTCAGTTATTGCCCTTTGTTATTTTCAGCCATCAGTATTCACATAGGTTTTAAATCTGTAATCACTATAGCCATCAGTTTTCATTACCAAAAGACCTCTTGAAATGGAATTATTCTGCTGTACTACATATACATTCTTCCAATGAGCAAACACATTCGGCGGGGGATGGCCATGTTGACATGGCTCTTGTTCTATAAGTTACAACAGTCTTTCTATGGTACAACATTTATCTCAATACTGAATATAATTTTATTTTGATGTTAGAATAATAGGTAACCTTGACCTTTATACTAGTTTGTTCTACAAGGTCAAATTTTCAAAATTCAGGAAACATTGAACATCAACAACATAGACCAATATCCTCTGTTTGATTTTTATATTTATCACAATATTTCTATATACTTGTATGCACGTATTCTTGCAGTTTTGAGGAGTTTAAAGATAGATTCAATCTCCCAATAGACATTTTAGACTTTTGATGTGAAAGTCTACTATTTTGTCAGGTGATTTTAATGTTGTCTGCACCTTTTTATTTTCTCTCTTATTTCTATCTTGGCTTACATTGTATTGTGCACAAATTTGGTTTATATATTTTGTTTTGTGATCTTGTCTTCAATATTTAACTTAATGTAGATCTTCAGTATTTAGAGGTAAAGATGACAATATGCTTAATGCCACCAGCTTAGAGCCATGCTGGCAAATATGTACAGCCTGACATGCCAATTCAAAATGGACAATTTCATTACAAATAGTGTGATTCAGCAAGATGTTAAGTTAATGAGTGAAATAGACATTATGCCAAAAACAGGTTTTAAAGTTATTTAAAGAATCATTCTTGCATCATATACAATTGGTTCCATGCATTATCCAGTGGTAAAGCATTGCTAAAACTTATTGGAATTATACCGAAAGACTGGTATATTTTTGCAAGATTAAAATGCTGATTTATAATTCAAGTCGGAATGTAAAAATTACAGTTTGAAAAACTCCCATGCATACCTGAAAGCAATTTTTAAATTGCTTTTCTTTGCAACAGGAAAAGTTCATGAATGAGTCGAAAGTGACTAGTCTTTAACTCTTGACCTGCTGGTATTGATAGTGATCGGCTTTTGCCACTAGCCAGGTCAGCATGTGGGGTGACCAACTCCAAACTTTCAATTTTCATATTGATATCCGTAAAATTGCTGATGGACTTTTCCAAAAATGGAAACATACAATTTCAGAAATTGAGCAGATTTACAGGTCATTGCGAAGTATAAAGATCCAGGCCTGCTTTCAGTCTGACCAGGCTCTAACCTGTTGGTAACAATAATTATTTCTTTTTGTATTTTTATATTGAAATCCCTTTAATTTCAAATTAATTGTTTCAAATTTAAGCAGAGCAATTTTTTACACAATAAGCAGGTTAAGGGTTAATGACTATTCAAAATAGAACTGATAAGCCAAGTAGGCAGAAGTACTAACTTGGTTCTTAGATTTACGATGCTGAATCTAAATCTGCAAAGCCTTGTTACTAGCAAAGTGTACTCCCGTACAGCGTGACCAAGTCCAATAATGTTGGCTTCCAAATTACCATCCTGGTTGATAATTGTTGATATTGACTATTTCAAAATGGGAAAAAACTGTTTCAAAATGGGAAAAAAGGCAAGTCCATATAGGAAATTCAAAAGATAAAGGACTGAGGGTTTTCATGTTTTGTAGGTCAGTTAGTTGAAGGTTTAATTTCTTGTGAGCTTTCAATATTGACATTGTTGTAATCCATGTAGTTTATGTATCGTGTTATATTGAACCTGCCTCTTAGTTTTATTTTTCATATTTATTATGTGACTGAAGACATAATTGAGCCGCATCATGACAAAACCAACATAATGGGTTTGAGACCAGCATGGATCCAGACCAGCCTGCGCATCCGCGCAGTCTGATCAGGATCCATGCTGTTCGCTTACAAACTCTATTACAAGTAGAGAAACTGATAGCGAACAGCATGGATCCTGATCAGACTGCGCGGATGCGCAGGCTGGTCTGGATCCATGCTGGTCGCAAACCCATTATGTTGGTTTTGTCGAGACACGACTCATATATTCTGGTCTTTTTTAAGTTAAATCCCAGGATAGTTGTCAAGAAACCACAAATTATGATAAAAGCATTCTATTTCCTATTAGATATTTTGGAATTACTTCCTTCCATAAGGGGTTTTGCAATTTCTTATAGATTTCATCATTATTTTGAATCTATTTTAGCTGGCCACGTAATTTGTGAGTAGTGTATTGTTGGTGTATTTTAGCTTTGCTTTTTTTTGAAGTTTGGTTATGCAGACAACATTTTTTGCAACTGGCAATTATCAGGCTTTTTGTCCAAGATTGTTGAACAGAATTTAGGGACCAGTCAAACATGAACTACAAGCATCTGTGTAATTGAATTGACTTTTACCAGGCTCTGTGTTTGAGACCTGGGTGAAGCACCAGATTTTCTGTGATGAGCTTGGTTTACTGCAATATGTCTAATGACATTCATCAGTGCTGGGTCAAATGGTTTATATGATAAAGTTTTGGCAAATACTAGTACAAAGACAGATTTGTACTTGAACACTCCTTGGTACTACTGCATGCAATACTGTTTATCATTATAAAGCTCAATGGAACAAACATACCTAAATGGTTCAGCATAATGTAATGGTTAGTGAGGTGAGAAAGATGTTTGAAATCAGTAACCTCAGCAACTTTTCCAAGGAGATTTTGCAGACTTTCCTTCCAGGGACTGGTCTCTATTTTCTGTTGTAATCAAGGACTTTTAGTTTTAATTTTAGTAGCACAGTCAAGGTTTTGAATATCAAAACTACACAAATGATATTTTGTTAATTTTTGTACCTTTTATGTCTGTTATTATAGTCTTATATAAAGAGTTTTGAGTTTATATATTGTACAAAACTATCCTGTAATGTAAAAGTAGAATTACTAAGCTTAAAATTGTAACTTTGAAAGTGCTTCTATATTTGTAAGAATAAGTAATCTTACATAAGTATAAGCCAATGCTTATAATCAATGGTAGTTCTCATAATGAGGAATTTAGTTTTTTAAGGGGAGGGGCAAAAGCTTTTTAATTGAGCTACTTTGTTCTTTTAATGTCCGATTACATAAACCCTATTTTAAGCACCATGACAAAATGCTTCATTTAAATAGGCACAACTTGCGTAGTTTATTTTTCATATAGAAAGACAATGTTATTTACTATTTGCTAACTTTTTAAACCTGAACATTTTAAATATTATATCAACTTGTATGATTGATATACGTTACTTTGAATGAAATGTAATATGAGCCGCGCCATGACACAACCAACATAGTGCGTTTGCGACCAGTTTGGATCCAGACCAGCCTGCACATCCGTGCTGTCTGGTGAGGATTCATGCTGTTCAATTACAAACCCTATTATGAGTAGAGAAACTGAAAGCAAACATCATGGATCCTGACCAGACTGTGCGGATGCGCAGGCTGGTCTGGATCCATGCTGGTTGCAAACACACTATGTTGGTTTTGACATGATGCGGCCCATATACCGGTATATTTATTTAAAATCTGAACAATGTGTTTAATTTTAGCTAAAGTATCCGTACAAGTATAGTTATGTAATGTAATAGGTCCAGTTTTCACTAGTCAATCCATTTTGCACTAGGATAGAGCTTTATTTGGTAGTTATAGTAAACATAAAACATTTTTCTGCATTGAATGTGTGATCAGTGTTGACTTACCTATGCCACTGATATAGAGCCAGATTAGGCCAGACCATATCCTGCCAGCTTCTTGATATCACAACACATTAACAATAGACAGTATCAGATTCAAAGCAGACCACATTGATAAAATAAATTTATAATGGTATAGAAAGTTTAAAGTCAGGTATAGAATTAACGTTATTAAGGTGATTATCTTTTAAAAGAGCATATCACCGTTACAAATGATCTAACAAAATACATCATAAGTTTATTTTCTATTTTCAGCTTTTCATCGATTTTTGGTGGAGAGTCGTCGAAGCGTCCTGCACGAGCCCGGGAAGCTGTGGAGTGACTTGCATCAGATGACGACCTCCTATCAACTGTCTGTGATATTGCCTTAGATTTAGATATCAACATAGCCCCAAACTTTCATATCAATAATGTTATTTGATATCAATTATTTTATAATTTGATATTAGTAATTCAATTTGATATTTTATTTCATACTAATCAAAGAGAGGTAGGGTTCAATCAATGAGGTATTACCTATAGATATAATCCACTGATTATCTTACATTGTGAAAACTTACTGCTTTTCTTCAAAAAGCTTCAATAGGTAATGCATTTCATAACAGTTTCATTGATTATATTCTATTTGAAGTCAGAAGTGTATGAGTATATTCTATTCAAAGTCAATAGAGGCCTCGTACCTTCTTCTTTTAAAAATACACAGCGCATATCGTAAATTTACATCACCAGTAGATGTATATGTTTGTTGATGACTATTGTTTAAATGAAATAAAGTGTTTAAGTTAAAATAACTGTAGTTGAAAATAGACTTTATTATTTAAATGTTATTTTTGCTCCATTTTTTTAAGAGACTGCCAATTTATTCCAATGGTCATGCATTTAATTTTAAGTGATTTTCTTCTATTGTAAGACTGAATAGCATGAACTAAATAAAACAACATAAGAAAAAAAAAATAAAGATCATTATTATGTTAACTTATTCATGTATTTTTGTCTAATTTATTTGACATTCCATTTATGTTCCGAGCAGAATTTGACATGGCCAACTTTTATTTATTAACATTGTAAAAGTTGTACTTTTTCCATTGAAACATTTGAAGTTGCATTTTTCATTGGTGTAATTTTTCCATTGCAACATTTTGAGGTGTAAATTTTCATTGCAACATTGTATTTGTACAAATTTTCATTGCAACAATTTTGTGATAAAATTTTTGATTGCAACTTTATTACAGTATAATAATACTTCATTGCAACATCTTCATTTCAATTCTGCTGTAAATCAAACTTTAATGTTGATGTTACAATGATGTGTTATAGCTAAAACTTTCTGTTATATATATTCTGCTAGACATTCTGTGTATATTTTAGAAATTCAGTTTAAATTAAAACTTATGGTTGTGATGCTTGAAGCTGATTGGCTACCGTCAGTGACATAACACCATGGATTCTAGCCAGTTGTTTCTTATAGTGACATAACACCATGGATTCTAGCCAGTTGATTTTAGTGACATAAAACCGTGGATTCTAGCCAGTTGATTCTTAGTGACATAACACCATGGATTCTAGCCAGTTGTTAATTCTTGCTTTATTCACATGCTTGTTCTACAGTTAACCATAGCAAGCCAATACAATTCTCAAAGATCTGTTTTCATGAAATTTCATTTACAATTGCATTATATACAGGTTGTGATTTGGATTTTTTATTTCAAAAATGGAATTTTGTGGTGTTGAAATAACTTAAGAACATTATTTTAAAGCAAAGATATGATTTTAGATATTAAAGGAACAAATGTCCGACTGATTGTTACACCCAGTCTGAAATTAAAATTTTGATATTGAAAATATTGTTTAGGCCTTCTTTGATTAATGTTTATATAAGAATATACCAAGATCAAATTTTAGATATATAAGATTTGTTGCCATTGTAGATTGTATAGAGAGTTTTGTACAGGTAGATAGAATCATTATATAATAACCCAGAACAACTTGTTTTTATTTTTAACTTAAAAATGTGCTAATGATTAGTTTTTTTACTTTATAAAACTTACACATTACATATTAATGGCTTATCATTTATTACGTACTGGTGTCCAGTTAGAGCAATTTTGTTTTTGCAGCTTTGCTCCATGGACTTTTATGATAAATAGAAAGATTAAGGTACAAAATTGATTTGTCAAGGTGAAATGGAGACGCAAAAAATGTTACATTGTAAAAATTTGGACCAGCATTTGCCTTTAACTGATAATAGTGAATAAATTATGAAGTGTTTGTTAATGTTTTTGTGCACGCTGTTTTGTTCTGTTCTGTTCTGTTCCAATTTCTGCACACACATAAATATTGATCATGTAGGCAAAATCAATGAAACAATTATTACCCTAACAGGACACCATAGTACGAATTATATTGAATTACTGATTCCAAATTAAAATTTGTGATATTTATTCAATATAGATGGGGCCAAGTCGTGACTGTTTAGCTGACAAAATAGTATATTTTTTATATCAAAAACATGCAATATTTCTGTAGCTAGTTTGTATGGATGCTGATTGTGCAATTGTTTGTTGTGTTAATTTATGTTGTTCTGATTTTTTATGTTATTCTCCTATATTTTTATAATTTGCTATTTGTTAGTGAATAAAATTGTTAACCATTACTGTAATGGCCTGCTTGTACTAATTGATTTTTAAAAGAAAACCTGTCAGATTTATTCCTTTTATCCAGCATTAACAATTCTATAATTTTTTTAAACATATATGGGTACAGAAATAACTTTACAAGGACATATAGCTGTTTTTTGTTCTGTGTCCTGCATTATCACGTTTTCCGGGGGAGGGGTTGGGAGGGGGAACACTGACAAAAAAACACAACAAAACAACACCATTCTGTTGTAGGTTATATGTTCAACCTCTTCTGCCGACGTAAGGTTGTAAGTTCCTGAGAAAAGAGATAAGACAATTCTGAAAACATCTCAATACTCTTACAGATAATGTTGTATAGCAACAAACTTGTTGTCTCTAGATCATGATGATTCTGTGATCCCCAAAATAAAGTTACAATATGAAATGGCTTATTTATTATATACATTCATATATATTGTAGTATCTATGAAAAGCTGAGTTTTATCAGTTATTTGTAGATATAAATACTTACTGAAAACTGGGGTATTATTTATGAAAAAAAAAAACACTTCCTGTTAAGCCTTATAAAAATTGCATAGAAAGAAAACAAATTTTGTTATTTTTGTTTTGGTGAACATGGCATATACAGAATTTAAAATTTATAAGTGAAGATTTTAATTTTTACATTTGTGTTGTATATATACTACTGATATAAATTGTATTTGCTGAAAAATATGCAAGTTTAGAAAATTAGTGACAAGTATAGTTTGGTTGTAAAATATGTATTTAACTGAATAGTGTATTGAAATAAGTAAACTTTTATACAAAACTGTTTAGAGATACCATTTAAATTTAAGTCTCTGGATTTTGCAATTTTATGAAATTTATTTGCCAACCCACCAATGATAGAGTAAATTTTTGTATAATAGTGTTAACTTTTAGGTTATAGTTAATTATGCTTCATAGTGTTTTATTGATCATTGTTAATTGATTACCGTTAATTGATTACAGTTAATTGATAGAAGGTTTTTGTTCTATTCAGTTTTATTTAGATGCCAGTTCTGTTAGATTGTGATGTGCAATATACTGTATACATGTATATAATAATAATATATTCCTTTTTATTTGTGCAGTGAAAGCATTTAAAAAAAAACAACAAGAAAATAAAAAGAAAAGACTTGCTGTCCAATTTTTTTTGGGGGGGTCAATAATTTTCTTTATCAAGAATTTTTGTCTAAGTGTTTAAATGGTTTTAAAGTTTCTGTTAGTTTGTGAAAGGTACAAAATTGAATATGCTTAATTTCACATTGTCTTATGATTTCTATGTAATAATGGTGACATAAAAACCCTAAAACTGACAAATAGAATATCCAACTATTTGCCACTTTGATTAACGACTACTTAAAGCTACATGCCTCCAGATGAGTCAAAATATTTCAATAAAATCAAACTTGAGAAAAAAGTACTAAGGTGTAAGGAAAAGTAAAAAAATTTAAGATTCAAGTAATATTTTACATATTATGTGCGATTAATGACTGATTTTTCAGTATTTACAACTATATTTCTACTTCGTTACTAAGGCAGTAAAGGCTATTTATGCATATTTTGACCATTTTTTTGTAAATTTACGAGGTTTGTAAGTGCCATTAATAATGTGTAAATTGCTTCCTTTTGGTTTCTTCATAATGTTACACATTCAAATTTATTTTCAAAATTTTCATGAAAATAAGCATAAATCTGGAGGCGTGCTGCTTTAAAGTGTTTTTTCAATAATAATAAAAAAAACATTTACAATAAATTCAATAATAGATAACAAAGTTATAATACATTGTATCATGTTTGTTTATCTGTGCAAACTAAATTTATATGGAAGTATTTTAATGTTTGTTTTTGATTTGTTGCTTTGATTTTTGTCTCAATTGTTATGAACATTTCAAAAAGTTTGTTTCCAAAACAGTTGTTATTTCTTTTTCTAATTGTGCTCTTTTAAAAAAGTTGTTAATGCATTTTATATTTAAAAGCATTTTGTACAATCTGCCACCATATAAATCATAATTTATAAGCACAGCTTACCAATGCATTATATCTTTATCATTGTTCAAGGATGAAATAATGTTCTTGTTTATATACTCACTGAAAATAATTGTCAAAGTAAGTTTTGTTGATTTCTGTTACACCATTCTTTTCATGTGAAGCTTTATTTACAAATGTTGGTCCAGAGGCTGTTAAGATATGGGCCGCGTCATGACAAAACCAACATAATGGGTTTGCGACCAGCATGGATCCAGACCAGCCTGCGCATCCGTGCAGTCTGATCAGGATCCATGCTGTTGGCTATCAGTTTCTCTACTTGTTATAGGGTTTGTAAGTGAACAGCATGGATCCTGATCAGACTGCGCGGATACTGGTCGCAAACCCATTATGTTGGTTTTGTCGTGACGCGGCTCATATATGTTACAAATTTATTATTTAGTAGAAATCTATAGGCATAAGTTTTTAAGGCATACTGTCATTTTAAAACAATTTTGTACAGGTAAATTGTATTTTTGTGTTAGTAAAGCTAGCTGTTCTCAAGTATGTCACTTATTGGAAAAAAAGTTCTTTTTTGTTTCCTCTAAAGAGATATCAGTAAATGCATTGTTTAGAAATCTTGTATGTTTTACTGAATTTTGAATGAGACATTAGTGTAGAATTAAACACAGGGTAATTACAATTGTAGCACAGTGTTACAACTGCATATTTAATGTTCTGCCAAAAGAATTATTAACTTACTGAGATAATCTGATTACTGTAAAAACCTTCAAAAAAAATGTGAACCAAACTTTAATATGTCAAGAAATTGCCATGAGACGAAACTGCTAAGGTATGTCCTGAAGAAAATACTTGTCTAGTTTATTTTAAGCACTTTTATTAGCTCATATATATATGATTGGATAAATGCTTTGAGTGTCAGCAGTTATATAAAGGTTATGATTAAAAGTTATATGCTTCATAGTGTCATTCTTGTTCATCTTCACCAAATCATGAAATGTCATCGAAATAGACCCATAACTTTTTGCTTTATGTCCCAATGAACGTTTAAGTAAATAAATACAAACCCAGATGGCCCTTTTTGAAGAAAAGGTTCAATTTTCACATACTAGTACTTGATCAAATTCTTACAAAATCTCTCGGAGATAACTAGCCCATTGTGAGAGTTTTTACATAATGACTAGACAGGATTCTGTCTGGTCTGAAGTTTTTAACCAGAAGATTTGGTGTATGTGAGAAACTGAGACAGGTTTTACAAGCGAACAATTTCAGAATTTCCTTAAACAGTGGAACATCACATAATCCCATGTTTGCAAGTTCAATCAGATTACATGTATGAAATTTGCTCAAAATATGTCTACATTGTATATTGTTATTTCGACTATTTCATAGCGTAACGTTATAGTATTTGTTCCGGGGCATTTTATTCTGTTTAAACATAAAGTTTATGTGAACGTCAAACATTCTATGTTAATACTCTTCCGAGAATTGTAAGATTATGGAAACAACATTATTTTACATGATATAAAACAATATTTCTTGACATATACTATACAGTATGTATTTATATCTTACAAAACAAATAGATCATGCAGATCTATTGCGATATCTCATAAAGCTCAACGTGCCTGGCTCCATTCTTGGCTGAGGTACAGACGGCGTGTTTGGCACGCTGTGCTTTTATTCTTTATTTTACCAGATTTGCGTCCACATAATATTTCAAAGATCGTTGAAAGACATCGAGTGTACGATTTCAGGTCAATTCCATGCACTTTTTGAAAAGAATTGTCATATTCTTGTATCAATTGTTGAAACAATTAGTCTCTGTGGTAAGCAAACTATGGCAAGGGGTCATCAAGCAATATCCATGCAATGTGGTATTAAATGCCCCAGTGTAATAAATCGAAACATTTATGACAAATCTAAAGTTATTGCGACCTCACCATTTGAATGGGCATAATTTGTCATTTTTAAGTTCTTTAAATTCTTATTTTGGAAATAAAAGCAGAGTTTCAATTTTCGGTTTTCAGTTCATTCTGAAGAGCGTAACCAAGCTCCTTTGATATGTACTCCATACAATATGTGCAATGAACAAAATACGATTTATATTTGTAAAACAACGGTTTAATGTTAATTTGTTCCTGTTTCTTTGATTCACGACAGCCTATGTTTTTTAAACTAACATTTCATTAATTTTTAGCCGGTGCAAACCCGGGTTATATTATGGTGAATGTCGGGCGGGAAAAAATTCGTTACAGTTTTCTCAGTCATCTGTGTTCAAGATGCGTAGAACTTGGTCCTAGGGAAGATCTCTACGACGAGAGACGGCTTGAGAAGACCTCTGTTTCGACCCTATATGATCAGCGACGTCGAAGGCGAACTAAGTCGTTCGTTGCAGGCTCTACGACAAGCGACGTACCACTGGGACATATGGCAAAGCCGGTGCCCAGAATAAACAAAACTAAAAGCATCATCTCATCGTGAAACATCAGTCATGATTCAAACCTACTTGGTGTAAGATTTACAAAAGCTAAATCATTGACGAGTCTTAAATATTTGCGCTAAAAATAAATAAATAGATAAATAAATAAATAAATAAATATAAATAAATAAATAAATAAATAAATAAATAAATAAATAAATAAATAAATAAATAAATACATAAATAAATAAAATAAATAAATAAATAAATAAATAAAAAATAAATAAATAAATAAAATAAAAAGAGCATTTTTTTTCAACTAAAATAGTGAGATGAAAGCATATAAAATTCGGTAAATATTCTTTAGATTTACTAGTTAAAATCGATCAATTTCGGTCATATTAAATTATTATTAATTTATATATTTGCCGATTTTTTTAAGCATTTAGATCTAACGACAGATTGGAAACTTGATCTTATAACTTGAAAAGTGTAGTAAAGGGATTAAAGCATAATTTGTGCGAGAATTGTGCTATGAAATATTATCAAATCGAGAGTACAGAGTAACTCCCCTTTGATTTCATTTCTCCATTACAATAAGCGAATACGTTGGTGCTATAGTAGTTAAGAAAATTAAATGTGGAATTATACATATTACATTTGCTATATTTTTCAACTACTGTATGGATGTTTTTAAGAAAGGAGAAAACAGTTACTTGTATACAGTAAATGTATTATAGAAAAACAGAAATGGAATTCGTTTAATCTATACTGTAAGTGGGAAAAAAGTTCCAAAAACAATTCTAAAAGTTATGAGATTCTAGATTTAGTTACATATTTTTTATTTGAAATTAGATTTATGTTTTTCATTCTTAATACAGGAAATTGATCGTGACACTGAAAATTAAAGGGTCTGCAAGAAAGCCGGTCAGGAAAATGTACAAGTAAAAAGTATTGAAACAGAAATGAGCTTTACCGGAGGAGAAAACTGTAGATAAAAGCTTTTCTCTCATGGCAATCAACTTACAACACACATGGAGATTCACACCAGTGAGAAACTTTACAGATGCGATACATGTGATAGATCATTTCCTTACCTTAGTAAACTGAAAAAACATATCCACATGCACACTGGGGAGAAGAATTATGAATGTGATAATTGTGACAAAACATTCTCGAGTAGTTCTCATCTTCAAAGGCACATGATAATTCACACTGGTGAAAAGAACTTTGCATGTGAAATATGTGATAAATCATTTAATTGTAAAGGTAATCTTAAAAGGCATATGGTAATTCACAGTGGTGAGAAAAATTATAAATGTGAAATTTGTGATAAAGAATTTTCCCAAAGAAGCAACCTTACATCACATTTGATAATCCACACTGGTGAGAAGAAATACAAATGTGAAATCTGCTCTAAAGAATTTTTCAAACAAGGTCAACTCAAAGCACATGTTCCAACTCACGCCGGGCAGAAGATTCATAGATGCGAAATTTGTTTTAGAACATTTCTCTATGCAAGCAAGTTGAAAAAACATATGAGCACAGCAAATCACACTGGTGAGAAAAAGTTTAAATGTGGAATTTGTAAAAAATTATTTCTTCTTAAAGGTCGTCTTGATAGCCATTTACGAATACACACAGGCGAGAAAAATTTCACATGTGAAGTCTGTGATAAGTCATTCAGATTTGAAAGTAATCTTAAAAGTCATTTGAAAATTCACACTGGTGAGAAGAACAATGTATGTGAGGTTTGTCAAAAAGCCTTTTATGAAATTGGTGATCTCAGAAAACATATGGCCATTCACACTGGAACCAAAAACTATAAATGTGATCTATGTGGTAAATCATTTACTCACAATTCTGGTCTTAACATTCACATGAACATTCACATGGGTATCAAGAGACATAAATGTGAAATATGTGAACAAATGTTTTTGCAAAGCAGTGCTTTTAAAAGACATATGACCATTCACACTGGCGATAAAAGGTTTAAGTGTAAAGTGTGTGACAAAGGATATTCTAGAGGTGATTCCCTAAAAACGCATATGTTGAGTCACACTGGTCATTAAAGTTTTACTTCCTGGAAGTTCTAAGATATATCAATATAGTAGTAAAACTCAGTGTTGTAACCTATTGTGAATCAAGCAATAAGTAATTAACCATAGACGCTGGTTGGAGACGCATTCAATGACAAGATACATTTGTTACAAGAATTACTTATACAAACACATTTCTTTCTCTCATTTTTTTATTTGTTTGGGTCTTCAGACCAAACAAATAATGGTAGCGAAATTTCAGACCCTGGTGTTCTTATTTGCAAATGCCGAAAGTAGTCCAAACTCCTTGAAGCGGTTACTTCCCTTCATATGTACATTAATGCCGAAAAAATAAGGGGAGATCACTGCGTAAAGATTGTCAAATGACAGGTGCATTAATTTTCGTAACTAAAAAAAAGTTCCTGATTGGTCGAAGATTTCTAATATTGTGTTATTCTTATAGAATAATATGAATATACATGCTTATATTCAGCTCCATGATTATTTACTTCAGTGTAAAACAACATGTTTACCGTGAACAAAATATATCGAAATTAATAAGGGTTACAAACTCTAATTTAGAATAATATGGTATTCTTCAGGCTGTTATATTATATCTCCCCGTGGTAGAGGGGTTTACTCACTCGCTTTGGAAGCGAGAGGTCTGGAGTTCAAATCCCAGTTCAGGCAACTCATGTTTTTTTTTATTGTTTAAGCCAAATAAACATTGAATTGAATATCAGTGTTGCAATTAGTCTTATAGCCAATTTACTATAGTTATAACACTGGAAACAGTATTGGTGACACTATACAAACAAATTGGTTTATAATCCTACATCCTTCACCTTTTTGACATTCTGTGACCCAAACAAATTCAGCGCCTTCTATGCTTTGATTTTTATTATTATTTGTATATATGTATTGTTATGTTGTGTTTCTTTTGTTGTAATGAATCTATTGTTTGTGTAAACAAAATGTGTTGCAGATGCATCAAATCCTAGTCTGACCAAATGATGTTTAAATCACTAAGAATGTTTTAAATATAACTAAATGAATATAATAATATATGAAAGTATAAGCGCCGATCGGGGAAAACTCTCGACTTTTTATTTTTCACTTTTTCTAAACAAACGGTTAAAACATTTTATCTTTAAAAAGAAAATTAAAGAAAAAAATTATTCTCTGCGTTGACCGTATCATTCTCGCGCTGACATTATGGATATGGTGTGATTTTAAAGCTGCATGCCTCCAGATGAGTCAAAATATTTCAATAAAATCAAACCTAAGAATCATGTACTACGATTTTAGGAAACATAAAATTATTCAAGATTCAAGTAATATTTTACATGGTATGTGCGGTTAATGACTGAATTTTTATTATTTACAACTATATTTCTACTGCGTTACTACTGCGTTACTAACGCAGTAAGGGCTATTTATGCATATTTGACCACTTGTTTTGGTAATTAACGTGGCTTGCAAGTGCCATTGATAATGTGTTAATTGCTTCCTTTTGGTTATTTCAAAATATTATGCATTCAAATACATTTTCAAAATTTTCATAAAAAGTAGCATGAATCTGGAGGCGTGCTGCTTTAAATGTCGAGTATTACTGTTATACATGGTATATGAAAATAAATGTTAACAAAACGAAGGCATGATTTGTTTTAAATGGCAAAAGCACTTTCACGGATTTCTACATATACTATATAGAATAGAACTAGTTTAACTTCTTTAAAAAATGTAACGCACGCAGAAACAAATTGTCGATCACGCCTCATTTTCAGTTTTTCAATAAATTGGATAGGCAAATTTTATAAGATTCATTTGTTTAAAGTGTTATCAGAAATATTTGGTATGAATAGAGCCAGTGATACTGAAATGATATAATCAAACCTGCATTAAAGACCACTTCCGAATCAAGATAACTCTGTACATAAAGACTACTCTTCACAAACCTTTGTTGATTAAATAGAATATCTATAAAGGACATGTTCAGTCTCTACTTTGGCTGACCTTTGTTCACAGGTTTGACTGTTCATCAAAAAAAAAATAATCAAGGTACATTTAGGTTAACGTAAATCCAGAAAATCATCAGCATTGTATTATAATGTTTTGTTTTGCAATTTTAAGGTATACTCACTTTAATATTTGAAATAAAATAATAAACTGGGCATGCGCGAGAAAGTGTACTGATACCTCATTTAGAGCACCCCAAAGCGTACTGATACCTCATTTAGAGCACCCCAAAGTTTTCCAATACTGAAATTTAGAGAACGCCGATCTTCAAAGGAATGTTATGGCGGTCATGCCATAAAAATATTGTCTTTCATAAGTGAATAGTTTTGTTCAATTACAGTACATGACGTCTGTGCCGCGGAGATAAGCATTTACAACAAATTTAGCACATTTTTCACATTCAACATATAAAATGTTACAATATAATTTGCGATCGTTTGTTAGGTTAACAAAGTCTTGTGAGAGCAGAATGTCCCCAAATATATTTGTTCTTAAAGAATTATACAGGGTACGTTCATATTTTGTAAGTTTTTTTCCAGATATATGTAGTTTAATTTTACATTCATTGTTTGATTTAAATACTCAATCCACTGATTGTCTTTAATTAGTTACCAAACCAAATCAGTAACAGTCAGAATACCACAACTACAAACAATGTGTTGGTGAGATACAATCTTATGAATCTTACAATCTACACTTATGGTTTTATGGATGTATGGGAGAATCAAAGTTGTGTTTGTCATAAATCTGTTATCTGCGAATTGAAGCAACGTGTAATAGATAACTTTTTACAAAACTGGCATTCTGATATTAATGGTAGCCCAGTTTTGAATTTGTATAATAATTTGAAGAGTGGGTTTGGTTATGAACATTATTTAGATCTTATACCAGGAAATCTTAGAACTTATATAAGTAGAATACGTATGTCTTCACATGCATTACTGATACAAACCGGACGCTATGGTGTAAACAGAATTCCTAGAAATGAACGATATTGTATATATTGTAATCTTCGTGATATTGAAGATGAATACCATTTTATATTAGTATGTACTTCGTAAAAAATATGTAATAGTTATAGAATATATACGAGGACTTTACCGGCTGGTATCAGCGCATGGGGGCGACTACAAGGGTCAATCATAGGAAATTAATCGAGACGGAACGTCGAGATTAATTTCCATGATTGACCCTTTTTGTCGCCCCATGCGCTGATACCAGCCGGTGAAGTCCGAGTTTTTATTCTGTAACTGTTTTATCGCATGACCATCACGACTTTTTTCTTCTCTCGTAATATTTGCTTTATTTAAGCATATAAATATTTTAAGAAATACCCACAGAAATACACCCATTAGATGCCGTTGAAGGAATTGGACATTAATAACCATTTCACGAGGTAAGTTGATGCATTTTTCCTAATTGCGAAATAATAACCATCTTTCCACCTCATTTTCAAAATATAATCTAGGACATATTGTCGATAAGTATCCCGGTGTATATTTCAGAGGTAACAATGTAGTGACTTTTATTTAAAGGCACATTATGCCTCAGATATTCTTTTTTATTAAATTCTTTAGAAATGTAAAACACCTGTTTAATAATGTTTTAATAATGGATTTAGAACATGTAGGATATTTAACAGCTGAAGAAAGTAGTGCTGAATGTGCAGTAATGTGTTGTAAATGTAGCAAAATGTAAATAAGTAGTATTTTGACTTCCATACAACATACTAATTCATTATAATTATACCAATTGCCAGCAAAGCAAAAGATATAAAGATAGTTCATTTATATGGCAGATAAGTATTTTTGTGAAACTTGTAACAAGACACCAAATATTTAAAATTTTGAGAAATAAAAATGATAGCATTTCTGACGCATAATGTGCCTTTAACACTACTTCCATCTATTAATAATTACGCTAGAATATTATGTTCATATACGTGTAGTGATTTACTGAATGATTTACTGGTCAGAATCTCCTGTAAAACGAAGGCAATGTTTAAAGTAAAAAAAAAACAACAGAATAATTTGATCATTGTTTCAGATTTGTCCTCGAGGTCAGGATGCAGAAAATGGCGATTACTTTTCAATGGACTCAACATCTTTATAATAACTGTATTTTCAGGTTTTAAAAAAAAAAAGATTGTGTAATGTTTTGTTTTGCTCTTTTTCAGGTATGCTCACTTTATTATTTGAAATAAATAATAAACTGGGCATGCGCGAGAAAGTGTACTGATACCTCATTTAGAGCACCCCAAAGCGTACTGATACCTCATTTAGAGCACCCCAAAGTTTTCCAATACCGAAATTTAGAGAACGCCTATCTTCAAAGGAAACTTGTGGCGGCCATGCGATAAATTAAGAGATACTACTATGTTAGACCAAGTATGTTCAAATTTATTGAATTGTTAAATTGTAATAATAAGAAAATATTGTGTAACTTGGCTTACTATATCAGAGATGCTATGACTTATAGAACATCCATGTCTTATAATATGTAATAATGAATGGTTAATCCTCTATGTAGGAAGTAAATAGAATATTTCATGTTGTATTCTTTATCTATATTTTCATTGTTAACAGTATGTATGTTAAGATCTATAGCTATATTTATGTACATTAAATGTCATGTGACTATTGTATAGTATATTTAATTGTACAAATTGTAAGATGATGTACCATGTACAAATCTTGAATAAAATTTCTGTTCTGTTCTGTTCTATGAAATATCATTGTTACTGTAACAGCTTTAAACCGCAGGAGCGCCAGACATGTTAGTTTCACATTGTATACGTACATGTATTATATAATTTTCATAATGCTTTATCACAAGAGCCACCGCCTAGCGGGGGCTCCTCCCGACTATTCTAATTTCTAAAGTAAAACACATTGGAGGAAAAATATTACAGCAAAGAGAACACCTAGATAACATAATTTTCTATTGAAAAAATAAAATTCAAAAATTTCATATTTGACCTTGACAGTTAGGATCATTCAAAGGTATAGGTCACATTTGAATTAATCACCAAGTTGTCAGTTTGTCTATATTTAGCTCCATTGTTTTAAAATTTCAAAAAGGGTTTTTTTTTCCTAAGGAAGAAAAAAAAATACACTGTAAATTACAAAGTTAGAAAATTTAAAAAATTTTAAATTTATTTTTGACCCCCGACGGTCATTTTTAATTTTTGTAAAGGGTAAAAATTGATAACCCATGTCAATTGTTACTTTTTTCTTTTGCCCAACATTTAAAAAAATTTGAAAAAGATAGGGCCCTTTGGGAAAACCCAAAATTCACTTTTTTGTTTTTAGTGTCCAAGACAAATTAAATAAAAGGTCAAGTTCTATTAAATCTTGAAGTCACATGCAATAACTTAAATTTTTGTCAAATTGTTTTACAGTTGGGAGTAGTCTAAAATAAAAGCGGATTTTCAATTTTCCTGATTTTCATCAAAGTAAATTGGCTATTTTTTACCCGTCTTTTTAATATTTTAGCAGTATAGATCTAGATACACCAAGTTTAAACCTTCAAAAAATATTTATGAATGTGTAAAATATTACTAGCTGTATAGACCTTTCTAATGATAAAATATTAAATTGTTCGATAATGAATGATAACAAAATTGAACTTGTTATGTTTCGCATTTTTATCATTACTGTAGCTATAAACAGATTTAAAACACGACCAGTAAGCGTGACAATGTATGCGGTCCCGTTTTCGGACAAGATAAGGATTATGAATAATATTCGAGGTGTTCCGATAATTTAATTAGAAAATAAACGGTACTAAAATGGCAGCATGTGAATCCGATGAAATCAGAGAGATGTACTGTGAACCTTGCTATAAAGATGGAATTAAACATACGAAAGCCGTTGGGTTTTGTTCAACCTGCGTTGAGTTTATGTGTGTTACTTGTGTCCGATACCATAGAAAATATATGCCTGAACATGCACTGAAGGACGAGGAAGATATGCCCAAGGATTATTGTTTTGATCTCTGCTCTCAACATTCAGTAGAAGTAGTCAAGTTTTACTGTATGACATGTGGTATTACGGCGTGTGCACGATGTAAACAAGATCAACATTCAAGTTGTGCTGATGTTCATCATTTACCAGATATTGTAGTTGATTTTGAAAGAAGCCCTGAGCTAAAGGTTTTGGAAAAGAAAATAATGAAAACAAAGTCGAACTTGCAACGATTGAAAAGAACAATAGCTAAGGGTGAAAAACATACAGAAGTGTTAAGGTCAGGTGCAGCTAGGACATTAGAAAGGCAAAGGGAAAATATGACATTACAATTTGATCATTTTGCAGAAGAAATAAACAGTTACCAACATCAAAAAGCCCCCCCAAATGCTGAGACAGAGCAAGAGCTTCAGGAGAAGTTTGAATGAAGGCTGATTACTGTTAATGATAAACAAATTTCCCAGGGGAAACCCGATTTAGCAATATAAAAAAAGTAAACAAAGTTAATTTTTTTATTAAAGAAAGGAGGGTCATAAGGGAAAGATAAAAATTAAAAGTTAGAAAAACCCTTAAAAATAGGGTTTGGGGGTCCAATGATTACTTTTTTTCCTTTTGAAAACTCGGGGAAAGACCTTTTGGGATCATTAAGGAGGGGAAAGGAGAAAAAAATTAAAAAAAATTGGGGTTACAGCTTTAAAACTTTCGCGGTTTATTTTAGAACCCAAAATGGCAGGTAAAATTCAAAAAAGAATTTTCAAAAATTGGGGAAATTTTTCCTTCTATTTTATTCTCCTTTTGCATTTTGGGGGATAAAAAAAACATGCTTAAAATTTTTTTCCTTATTTTTCCCTTTTTTCCTTTGTCAATGTTAAAGGATAAAATTCCCGGGTGATTCCTACCTTTCTGTTGGATATGACCTTGCAAAGATTTATGTTGGTCATATGTATCAAAGTGACAATATGGACTTATAAAAAATTTTACACTTGGACAATGTTGAAAACACTGGATTTGTTTTGCCAAAGGCCTAAATGAATGGTATAAACAGATTCCCTCTTACATACATCAGTGTTAAAACCAAAAGACCAATGTTTACATGTTAATATCACTGGGAATTTGGCTTTCTTTTCCCCAATTCATCTTGCTGCTGTTGACAATAAATAACGTAACTGTGAAAAACTTATTGATATTGAAACAAGAGAAAGTTATAAACAGAACTGGCGTGGGGAAAAAAATTCACTCTGATTCGGCCATAGGGATGCCTGACAAATAAAAAAGGCCCGAAGTGATCAGTTTAGCTGTAACAAATTCCCCACATTCTAAAACTATCGGGTTTCCTTCACCTGACATGCTTTTGGGTTAGACTTGATCACAATTATCCAAAGCAAGAATAAATAAGCAGTTAACTGTTTAATGCTATGGCATAGTTTATCACAACAACAAATTGATAATATCATGTATTGGAGATCATTTTTCTGTTAGAATGCTAGATTTAGCTGGTAATGTACTACAAAGTTTTGATAAAGACCATGAAGGAGAGCAGTTGTTTTCTTCACCTTATCATGTTATCCTTGGTAAAAATTGTAATTCTTTGTATGTTTCAAATTATGAAAATGGGAATGTAACTAGACTGTCAATGGATGGAACTGTTTTTAGGCAGTCTACAAACATGAACAACTTAAAGATGGTATTTTTTTTTTTTTTGGAATGAAAATAGATAAAGCAGGGAAAGTGGTATGTTTGTGGTTATCGACAATATTTTTTCGGTTGTCAGAGGATTTAACTGAGGGTTTCCAGGTACTGCATGCTAATAATAGAGTAAACAATAACATTGCTTATTGTGAAAAAACAAATTCATTCTGGTTAGCTTTTCATGATCAAGATTACATATTAAACATTTCAGTGTAATGTTAACATATCATAAAAAGGAAAACGTCTTAGATTGGAATTCTCATTAACACTGGTGTATCTTGTAATTTTTCAGACTGTTTAGTGATTATCCTTAAATCAAAACATCAGCTTGTAATTTTCTTTATAGATTTATTGAGTTAGTTTTTAATCAAGTAATTATTTAAATAATGTAGCTGTTTGATAGAGAATAATTGTGATTAATATTATTGACATGTAATTCTATTTTTCCTGAATAATAACATTATTTTTTTGAAGTTTTGTAATTGTGCTACACTTACTTTTTATCATAGGTATATAAGTGTACTAAAGAACATGATCATTCAAGAATATTGTTTGATACTTGTCTAATGTTAAATAAACAGTTTAAAAACAAAACCAATTAAAAACATTCATTATTTTCTATTTCACATACAATCCTTTTCCATCTCAGCACTAATGCAAAAATTTGCAAGTTTGCAAATTCTACTAGCAACTTTTAGTTTGCACAAGTAGCTAGCTTTCAAAGCCGCACATCCATCTTTTAAGTATTTAACATTATTGGATACATTCTGTATAACTTATGGTTTTCAAATACATAAAAACATTCATTTTCGAATGGATTATTACATAGGCTTGTAGGGTATCCTTTGCACAGCGGAGGGAAAACACGCTAATTAATAAGCAAGGGCGCGGGACAAAGTTTAATTCATAAAACTTCAAAATTTCACCATTTTTCGTGTTTAAATGTTGAATTCTGCTTAAGCCGGTGCTAGGGGGCGTGGACGGTAACTTGCACTTTCCAGTACCGTCCATGAACAGGCTCAATCAAACCGAGCCTGCAACATTTTCAATTTTGTCGTGTTGGGCTTTCTTTAGGGATTCTGTATTTCTCTATTTTATTGTCACATCCGCTGTAAAAAGTCTCCCCGTACATTTAATCAATGATGTTATATTTTCGATCCTTGAAGATCGTTCAGCACGACATTGTTGTGTATACATGTTACATGGTACTTTTATTTTCTTCTATTTGGCCTTTTTCAACTTGGGTGGTTCCAGTATTCCTACTTGAATACTGTATAATCACCCTTAGGATATGTTGCCTGCTTTTTAAATTTGTCTTTTGACGTCTTGTCTGTGATACGCAGGCTTCATAACCTCAGATCCCCTTTCAAAATTCCAGTTTATTTAGTTCCGCCCATTGTTTTCTCGTTTAGGGCACACGCATTCTTTTACTTGGGGACCATACGCCGCTTTTCATGGAATGGCACTACTGTGTCACATTGAAGGTTCAGTGATAATCGCCGTATGAACACATCTGCGGATGTCTCTAAATTCAAAATTTCACCATTTTTCGTGTTTAAATGTTGAATTCTGCTTAAGCCGGTGCTAGGGGGCGTGGACGGTAACTTGCACTTTCCAGTACCGTCCATGAACAGGCTCAATCAAACCGAGCCTGCAACATTTTCAATTTTGTCGTGTTGGTCTTTCTTTAGGGATTCTGTATTTCTCTATTCGCCCTGCGGGGGCTCGGAGCGAGATTTAAGAAATAAAACGGCGGGGTCGCAGCCGAAAACACGCTTATTAGTGGGGGCGCGTGGCGAAGTTTAATAAATAAAACTTCACTGCGCGCCCCCAATAATTAGCGTGTTTTCGTCCCGCGACCCCGCCAAGCGAAAAATCAATAATTAACAAGTTAATTGGCGGGGGTGTTAGTGTCTGTGGTTGCGATGATTTACTTTTACATGTACTGTATTATTCAAGGTTTGCCAGAAATTTTTTGGATTATTCTTAACTAGTTTTGTAGTCTTTTTCCTTAATTTATTTTAAATCTATTTTGAGCATTCTTCTTAACTTTATTATACTTTGTTCTCGAACGTATGAAGTTATTTTCATTTATTAGTATGTCATTTCTGTCTCTAATAAATTTATTTCGTGCTTTAATTATTGAAGGTAATTTTCTCGATTACGCAGTTTTTATCAAACCATTTAGATTTACGCATATACTTGTATTCATTAAACTTATTTTGTATACTCTTCGCAAATAAGTCTTGACCTTTTTTAATTAAAATAGATGAAAAAAAAATTACAACGTCTATTGGGTTTGATTCCAGAGCATTAGTTAAATCAATAAATTCGCTTCTGCAATTTTCTAATTCTTTTACATATGAGTAGTGTCATTCGGAGAGCGAGAGGGAGTTGTGAGCAGGAGCAGTTTAGGTTTGGGGATTATGACGTAATGTTAATCTTTTGAAGTGTTCTTCGAGTGTACTTGAGAGGTAGAATATCCTTTTGAAGTGGTCTGCCAATGTACTTGAAAGGTAGAATATCCTTTTGAAGTGGTTTTCAATGGCACTTGAAAGGCAAAGTGTCCTTTTAAAAGATGTTTAATTAAAAATAAAGATGGCGGATATTTGCATAATTAAAAATAAAGATGGCGGCTAGTTCCGTAATGAAAAACAAAGATGGCGCGGATAGTTTACCTGGCAACCAATGGGGAGAGTGATGCATGAATGAGTGATTATGGGCAGTATGTGTGTGTATTGAAATGTTTTCTCAATAAACATTACTATTATTATTATAAACGGGTCAGTTTTTACTGACCACCATTAAATTGGAAATGGCTACCGCCGACAGCGTGTCTATATCTTTGAGCAAGACTGGAGAAATTTCACCAGAACGCGAACCTTTTAAAATCTGTGAGGAAAGTGAGCTTCAGGGCGGCCGGGCGGTCTCTAGCGACTGCGTGGTTTGCGGCAATAGGCTGCCTAAGAACCGCGTTACTTTCATCGCTCAAATAGTCGCCATATACGGAATAATAATCGTGTCTGCGGTCAATCTTTCGATCAATTCCGGGTCAAATCAAGAACTCTGGATTGCTCTACTCAGTTCGGCCGTCGGCTACGTGCTGCCGAGTCCCGGACTTAAGTACAGAAAAGCCAAAGCGACATTCGGACCAACCCTTAGGGATGAGGGACAGTAATGGCGGAACTGAAACCAAGTTCGAGTATCTCGGTAGATCGAGAAGGCAGATTCAAAATAAGCAGAAAAGAAATAGTTTCATTCCCGGAGTCTCAGGACACGTACAGACCGGTTCACATATTGCTCAGCAGCCGGTCTAAACATTCATTTATTCAACACTAATGATAAGTCAGCTTTACTTTTTTGATTCTGAAAGGAGATATTTTGACGCTTATTCTAACTGGATTGTACGAAAACGAGCATGTTATAATAGCCTTTATGAATCTTTTTAAATTGAATTAAAGATGGCGGTTAGCCATTCGAGTTATTTTTAAATAAGATAAAAAAATGGCGTCTTATTGGAGGGAGATTCCTTTGGGGTTTATCAAGTACAAATGTATGTATCGAAATATATCTCGATACTCAAAATAGGCGGCAGAATGTCTGTCATTATAATAATAACAACGGTTATTATTATTATGATTGTGATGAAGATTATTATTATCATTATTATGAGATAAAGTAATTGCTGAAAGCCGTTGCTCGGGTAGCGGCTCAATGCTAGTCATTTTTTAATGACGTG